CCTCCAGTCCCAGGGTCTCCAACCTCAGTGTCTCCAGTAGTAGCACCCCCAGAACCAGCACCTCCAGTCCCAGGGTCTCCAACCTCAGTGTCTCCAGCAGCAGCACCCCCAGAGCCAGCACCTCCAGTCCCAGGGTCTCCAGCCTCAGTGTCTCCAGCACGAGCACCTCCAGAACCAGCAACTCCAGCACCTCCAGTAGACAAAGGACCAGCACGACTCCTAGCTCCAGCGGCGCGACGCTGACGGCGACCGTACCAGTCCTGCAGCTGCTGTGGGGTGAGAGGCACACGTGGACGAAGGCGGCTACTCCAAGGAGACCGCGCAACAGCAGACTCAGAACCCTCAGCGCCCGCACCCCCAACGGCTCCAGAACCTCCGGTGTCAGTACCCTCAGCACCAGTACCTCCAGCGGCTCCAGAACCTCCAGCGCGAGCACCCTCAGCAGCTCCAGAACCTCTAGCTCCAGCGCCACCAGGACTAGGCCCTCCAGCAGCTCCCGAACCTCCAGCGCCAGCACCCTCAGTAGCTCCAGAACCTCCAGCGTCAGTACCGCCAAGCTCAGCACCCCCAGACCCCTCACACTCAGGCTCAGCACCACCAAGCTCCACACCCTCAAGCTCCGCACCCTCAGGCTCAGTACCCCCAGGCTCAGCACCCCCAGGCTCCGCACCCCCAGGCTCAGCACCCCCAGAAGTAGCACCCCGAGCAGGACCACTCTCAGTAGGACCTGAGTCACCAGTGACCTCAACCGGCGCAGTCAAGGGAGGAGGGTCTACCTGAGAAACACCTGAAGGAGCAGGACTGGGAGCGGGGAGGGGGTCTACCTGGGGAGCACCTGGAGCGAGGAAGAGCGGCGGGGGGGGGAGCGAGGCAGTGCGGTAGGGGAAGAGACGGTAAAAGGGAACCGACTCGTCGAACGTGACGTCCTGAGACGCAAAGACACGGCGCGAGGTGGGGTGGTAAAACTGCCAACCAGGCGCGTCAGGGACAAAGCCAAGGAAGACACAGGGAACAGCGCGGGCGGAGAGCTTGTCCGCGGTGGTATCGCGGACAAAGGCACGAGCACCCCAGACCCGGAAACGCGACGCATCGCCAACCTTCCCCGTCCACAGCAGTGTGGGCGAGGTCTCCGGCAAGGAGACACGGGGCCAGAGGTTGAGCTGATGCGCGGCGTACCGGACCGCAAACGGCCACAGAAAATGGGGGGCAGCCGCATGGATCATGGAGGTACGAGCGACCTCCATGACTAAGCCAATGCGGCGCTCAGCAACCCCATTCTGCTGCGGAGAGGCCGGAAGCGTGAACGACTGGGTGATGCCGTGCTCCGCACAGTAGGCTACCAAGAGGTCGGAGGAGAACTCACCACCTCTGTCAGAGTGCAGACGTAGGACAGGAAAGTCCGACCGGAACCGCTCGCGGAGCTGGAGACGAACTGCGCGGATCCAGGGGATCAAAACAGCAGGGACATCCGCCTTGCTCCGCAAGGGGAAGACCGTGGTGTAACGCGTGTAGTCGTCGACAACCAGCAGGAAGTACCGCTCGTGGCCCTGTCCCTGGACGCGGGCTGGGCCCCACACGTCCAGGTGGAGCGTCTGCAGTGGAGCCTCTGTGGGAGGAAACGAGGAGGAGTGAGGAGCGGCGCGTTGCCGCCCCTCGACGCAAGGAATGCAGGGCGGCGCAGGCGAGGGAGGGAGGGCAGGCAGAGACCTGGGGAGACCAGAGACCAGGGAGCGAGAGTGCATGCTACGTAGGCGAGGCAAGGAGGGGTGACCAAGGCGGTGGTGCCACAGGAGAGTGTCGTGCGACAAAGCGCGACACTCGCAGGGGGCCGCCAGCTGACCAGACGTAGACGTAGACGCAGCTACCTGAGGGGACTCAGTGGTCAGTGTGTACAGACTCGAGCCAGGTGCACGGGTGAACGTGGCCAAGTGCCGGCCCGTCCTAGCACACGTACAGTGAGTCACTCGCTGACTCGCAGGAGTGAACTGGTGAACCCCCCCATCCTGGAGGTCAGCTCCACTCACCAAGTTCGTAGAGAACGAGGGGAGGTAAAGACCTGACAGGAAGCCAGACGGGACGGCCGGACACGGCAGAACCGTGGAGTAGTGGGCAAGGACTGGACCCCCAGAGGGGTCCGCCAGGGAGACCGGGACTGGCCGACGGAGCGGCGTGAGTGCGGTGCAGTCGCGAAAGAAAGAGCGGGAAGCTCCTGAGTCAAGGGTGAAGGTGTGCGAGACCGCAGTGGGCGCAGTACCAGAGAGAGCAGACTCAGCAGCACCTGAAGTTACGGCCTCACCAGTACCTAGAGCAGTAGACGTACTAGCACCGAGAGCAGCAGCCTCACCAGCACCTAGAGCAGGAGACGCACTAGCACCTAGGGCAGCAGCCTCACCAGGGTCAGGCGGTACGCACAGGCAACAGGCACGGTCAGCACTAGTAGACAAGGCATACATGGCAGTGAGAATAGCATCATAGTCAAGCGCAAAGATATCTACCCTCTGTCCATGCAGCTCCAGCCAGGTGGGGAGCTCAGCCTCGTCGCCAAACACTGTGCGCCAGTCGTCGCTCAGACGGGCGAAGCAGCGGGACTGTGTGTGACCAAGCGTCCCACAAGGCTGACCAGTCCTAGCACCTGTGCGAATGACGTACGGGCAGCGAACTGTACGTGTAGACCTGCTACACTGAGCGTACCACTCCTGGAGCTGCCGAGGCGTAAGTGTCTCGCGTGGACGCCCCTGCAGCTGCAGCTGGCCACTGCTAGACGCTCCCAACTGACCAGCCTTAGGGCGACAGCTATGACGGCTACCGCGACAACCCCAGCTAGTATACCACTCACTAAGCTGCTGGGGCGTGAGAGGCTCGCGTGAACGTCGCTGGAGCTGCATCTGGCCACCTGCCAGTAGCAGTAGCAGCAGCAGCAGCGCGGGCAGGGCAGGCGTGGCAGGCAGGCAGGCAAGCAGGCAGGCAGGCAGGCAGGCAGGAAGGCAGGCAGGCAGACAGGCAGGCAGGCAGGCAGGCAGGCAGGCAGGCAGGCAGACAGACAGACAGGCAGGCCGGCAGGCAGGCAGGCAGGCCGGCAGGCAGGCAGGCAGGCGCGCAGGCAGGCAGGCAGGCCGGCAGGCAGGCAGGCAGGCAGGCAGGCAGGCCGTCAGGCAGGCAGGCAGTCGCTCACCAAAGGCTGGGGGGGCAGGCGCTCACCGGGCGAGCAGGGCCGGCGCTCGACAGCGGCGACGTCGGGGCCGCAACACCGGCTGCAGAGCAGGGCCGAAGCAGCTGCAGGGCGGGGCCGCTTCAGCGGCAGTAGCAGGGTGGGGCCGCGTCAGCGGCAGGTCGGGGCCGTGGCAGCTGCAGGGCGGGGCCGCATCAGCGGCAGGTCGGGGCCGTGGCAGCTGCAGGTGTAAGAATCTAGCAGCAGGAATGGATGAACTAACAGGATGCAGGAGTACAAGTAGTAAACCCTAATTGGGTTGTACCCCATGTGGGCTACCCCACTACAGCCTAGACAATATGCAGTACATATAGTTTGATAGCAGGGGGGGGGGGGCCGCATCAGCGGCAGGTCGGGGCCGTGGCAGCTGCAGGGCGGGGCCGCATCAGCGGCAGGTCGGGGCCGAGGCAGAGGGCCGCGCGCGGCTCGGCGCGGGCTGCGCTGACAGCGCGCTGAGCTGCTGCAGGCCGCGCGCGGCCGCGCTAGGCAGTAGCGGGCCGCGCGCGGCTCGGCGCGGGCTGTTGCGGGCCGCGCGCGGGCCGTGCGAGGCAGTAGCAGGCCGCGCGCGGCTCGGCGCGGGCTGCTGCGGGCCGCGCGCGGGCCTCGCGAGGCCGTAGCAGGCCGCGCGCGGCTCGACGCGGGCTGCGTGGGCTCGGCGCGGGCTGCGCGCGGCAGCTGCGAGCTGCGCGCGGCTCGGTGCGGGCTGCGCGCGGCTGCAGCGGGCTGCGCGCGGGTCGGTGCGGGCTGCGCGCGGCTGCAGCGGGCTGCGCGCGACTCGGTGCGGGCTGCGCGGTCTCGGTGCGGGCAGCGCGCGGCAGCAGCGTGTTTGCGGGCCTGACGGGCGTGTAGAGGCGGCGCGCGGGCCTTACGGGCCTCTAGGGGCAGTGCGCTGGCCTAGGGCAGTAGGAGGCAGCGCTTGTGCAGCACGTCACAAGGCAAGGCAAGGCAGGCAGGTACGTGGGGTAGCGCGGTAACCGCAGCGGTAGGTGGGCCCGAAAAAAAAAAACGGTCCTACGGACCTTAGTGCTCTGAAACCATGTTAGAATCTAGCAGCAGGAATGAATGAACTAGCAGGATGCAGGAGTACAAGTAGTTAACCCTAATTTGGTTGTACCCCATATGGGCTACCCCACTACAGCCTAGACAATATGCTGCACATACAGTTTGACAGCCGCGGGCGACGGGAACGGGGGGCCGCGGGCGACGGGAACGGGGGGCCGCGGGGCGATGAAACGGGGGGCCGCGGGGTGACGAAACGGGGGGCCGCGGGGCGACGAAACGGAGGCCGCGGGACGACGGACGTGACGGGCGAAGGGCGCGACGGGACGAAGAAGAAAGTAGCGCATTTCGCGCTGCAGGAAGGGCGGGCCCATGTTACCTAAAAAAAAAAAAAAAAAAAGAGAAGGTTCTAGGAAAGAACCAGCTCTGACACCATGTTAGAATGTCCTTAGTAGTGCCTAGGGTTTGAGTACTAGGCAACTATCGAGATTAGAAAGGAAGGGTTCTCACTATAGAATTGTGGGTACAAGTAGGAGACAAAGGAGGTGAACCACCAACACAGTTATTTATAACTACACTAAAGCTACAGCTACAGGCAGGTACATAAATATATATAAATATATATTCTAACACTTTTTTACTCTCTGCTTCCATTCTTACCGGTAGCATCCTCCTCCATTAATGCCCAAGGCACAGCACAAGGGTCCAAAAACATAACAGGAGACACAGAGAGGTTGGATGGATACAGACGACGAACGAGTGATGACCACACGCACCACATGTTTCTAGCAAATTAAAGTTTAGCAGCAGCAGCACTGTCGGTAGCATTGTCAGCAGCAGCCTTGAGGTCCACACGGTGCCACGAGTTGTTGAGCACACCCCTCAGGTTCCAGATGCTATCCACATCCTCCGGCTGTGTGTTGGACGATGAATCCACCTGAGACACAGCCAGGCGAACACCTCAAGCGAGGAAACGAAGGGGAACGTGAGGCATACGGTAAGGTAAAACGCAGCCTGTCCCGCAAAAAGGACGAGGCACAGGGAAACAAGAAGAACGATTCACCGTGGCATTCCTGATGTGCTTCCAGCTTAACTCACCGCACGAGCAACAATCTGGCATGGCGGAGTGACAGTGGCATTAAGCTGCCACAGCACCCACGCCCACTTGAACCGCCCCTCGCCCTCCTCATCCGCATCTGCCACATACACGCCGCCTCCCTCTCCTGCTGCTGCCGGGCCTTGCAGGAGACCAAGCTCTGCGGGGTTGTCGACGGTGTGCGGCAGGCGAGTGGCCTCCTGCCAGGTGGCACCTCCATCAGTTGACACCTCCACCCGCTCAATGCCGCGCCCGCCGCCCACTGCTGCGTACCCCCGGATCGTGATCTGGGTGGCACGGGGGGAAGGAAAAGGGATGTGGTGAGGGTTGGGGTTGGGTGTTGTAGGAGGGAGGACGAGAGCGTTCCGAGTGGAGAGGTGTGCAATGAAATTGCATGAGGTCGAAGGGGAGACTGGGCGGATAAATGGGGAGGCAGAATACAGCCGTGATCGAGGCAGCAAAAGTTGAAGGGGAGAAGAGGAGTGGAGGAGAGGATGAGATGTGGAGAAGGGGAAATAAGGATAGAGGATGAGGGGAGGAGAAGAGGCGTGGAAAAGTGGAGGACTGGACGAAGGTGAGAACAGGAGGAGAGGAGACGTGGAAAGGGGACATGGAGGAAAAGAAGGGAGAGAATGCAGAGATTGCAAGGAATTATCGTGGCAGGGGCGTGGGTTGGGAGCACTCACAGGGCCTGGCTGCACTTCCTCGCCCACTGCAGGCTCAGTTATGGCGGACTGGAGGGAGGGTGGCACGTTGATGGGGTTGGAATGGGAGAGAGAAGTTCTTGGGTGAGAAGACATGCACGAACAATCATGACAGCCTGGTGGTTGGTGCGTGTGGTGCCAGAGGCAATTTGACCGAGCGAGCAGAGAGAAAAGCATGCCAGTTATAAAATGCTGCCTGGATATGGCCGGGAAAATATGAAGACGCTTGGACATGGCATGGCATGGCATGGGGTGCAGTCTTTACCTGGATAGGGAAGTCCATGATGGGGCGACGGGTGTTCCACTCGATGTTGTGCCAGTCAATGCTGGGGGGGAACATCTTGTAGTCGCGCTGCATGAAGAAGCCCTGCGACTCGTGCGACAGCACGTCAATGCGATCCAGCCACTTCACCGAACGCGCCCCGATGACCCCGGGAGCAACGATGCGCAGAGGAAAGCCGTGGTCTGGAGTCAAGTCCTGCGGGGTGGGGGAAGGAGGAGGGGGTTGTGGGTGTGTGATTCGAGCAGAGAGAGACACATCAATGCTCGAGAGACTGGTGGTGAGATCGTGGCAGCAGTCATGTTGCGAGAGGGTATAAAGAGGTAAGGATGACAGGGGATGGTGGGGTGGGCAGGAGAAGAACAAGAGCACGGGAAAAGGGAACGAGCATGTGAGAGGGTGGTGGTGATAATGTTGGGTACGAGGCGAGAGCGTACCTGTCCGTTCATCTGGTACGCAATGAGCACATCCTGCTCAGGCGAGGAGGCGTGGAGCAGCGGCAGTGACGCCTTGTAGGGGCCTCCCTTCTCCTCCTGGGGACCCAGAGAAGGGGAGAGACGGTGAGAGGGAGTAACTGAGGAACAAGAGTAATGGACACGTGAGAGACGGAAGGTGAGACAACTGGAGAACGAATGAACGGGCGACCGAGTGAGTGAGTGAGCGAGTGAGTGAGGAGGCACGCACGGGGCAGACGTCAACGCTGGTGAACTCCACGTGCCTGCCGCCTGCTGAGGTGCGCGTGGAGCGAGGGGCCACCCCCGCCAGCTGCAGCACGTGCGACAGACGCACCCCCGTCCACGTGGCTGATGCAGAGTGACCAGGGGGAGGGTAGGTTCAGGAGGAAGTGGGAATTCAAGGGTGGGGATTTGCAAAGGGTGTGGGACGATCGAGGTTGAAGAGGGAATAGGTGAGGGGGGAAGAGGGGAGAGGATGGAATACGATGGGACAGGAGTGAATGATGAGTGGGCTTGAGCGTGAGAAACAGGTGAGATACGCAAAAGGCGAAAATCAGACAGAATGGCAGGAGGGTAGGACAGGGCGGCAGCAGCAGGAGCCTCACCGTTCCCAATAGCAGCCTGGGACCACCCCACACCCTTGACCTTGCGCCTAGTGCTCATCTCCGTACGCCTGTTGCCCGCACACTGGGGGACGGGTGGTTGGGCAGGGCATATGTTTTTGAGTCGACTCTGGCCACACACTGAGGGGAAAAGTTGTTCACCAGGGCACGTGAGCAGAAGACGCATGAAGAGAACGAGGAGAGAGGCACGTGTGAGTGGGAGAGTCGATATAGAGCAGGCTATGCTTGGCAGATTGGTTTTGGTAAAGTGAGACGCGGGGAGCTACGGCAGTCCCAAGGTCGTGGCGTGATGAGAGGCTGATGAGGGTCTCACCATCATGGTGGCAACGATGGTTTCCGCTGGCAAGGACCTGCAAAGGAAGGTTGTGCACAGACATAAACGGAGAGGTTAGAACGGCCTTGGGAACATGGGAACATGGCTGGCAACCTCGGTGGACGGTTTTAGGAGCAACGCAAAGAGAAGGCGGGGAGAGGAGGTAGGAGACACAATCACAGATGTGGGGATGATGGATGACGAGCAGTAGGTGTTGCTAAGAGTGGGTTGAAGTGGGCAAAAGGGAGCTCACTTGATGTCTTGGAGGGAGAGAGAAAGCGGCTTGGGCACGAGACCGCCCACTTGCAAGCGATAGCTGCTCTGATACGCACACCCATGCACGTCGATACACACACATGGCACATACACATACCTCCGCACGCACACACATGCAGGCATGCGCGTGCACACGCACGAGCACGCACGCATGCACAAATACATGGAAAGATGCAAGTTGGGTTGAGCCGCAAGAGACAAGAGACGGCACAATAGCCAAGAGTGGTATTGAGGAGGCTCGGAAAGACCCCCTCACCAACAGCAGCAGCACCATCAGCAGCACCAAGCGCGGGCACAAAACAGGGATCAAAGTCGGCGGCCTAAGTGTCTGTTGAGAGACTCAAATGACATCTGACATCCCACGTGGCAGCGTCGTGGATCCCACGTGGCAGCGTCCTGTCGCCGTCCCACCTGTCAGCATCGTCCAGCACGGGCGTGGGCCCGTGGCTGCGCACGTAGAACGCGTCGACGCCCGTGATGAACGCCGTTCCCAGCAGCGCCGGTGGAGTCTCCGCATTGTACGGCGCCTGTGGCGGCGATATGGGGGAGGTATGAGTGGGTTTGAGCGTCAGGCAGATCCACAGGAGCGAAGTTGAAATAGAACAAGGACCATTTATTGACAAAGTTAAGCATGAAGATCAGATCCACAGAGCATCATCCAAGATCGTGGATTTGATTCGCGAATCGCCGGTACGCAACCGCATCCTAGCGCGTGGTAGAATGATAGGCATCAACCAAATCGCTGTAACTCAGATCCCTAGTTGGAATGTCAGAGCTACACCAGACGTAGGCGAGGCGGGGCGAACCTGGAAGTTCACGATCATGTCGGGACGCCGCGAGGGCTCCGCATCGTATGTCGTGGGGCCACGAAGACCCATTCTGAGGCTTGTAGCGAGCACTATGATAGGGAAAGCCAAGAAACTTTTATTGCGCTTTACACTCAAAGAGCAAAGCGACGCAATGACAATGAATGCCTGCAAGCCCGCCGCAGCAGATGCTCACGCTGCCTCTGGTCTGGTGAAATCCAAATCCGTAAATTTGAAGGGTGACTTCAGCTGGCTGGTGATTTGGCAGGGAAGAAGAGGCGGGAAGGCAGACTCGAGAGAAACCACCAGCAGCAAGCATGGTGGTTGACGCGGCGCGTGCGTGGTTTCAGAGTGTGGTTCATGTCTGGTTCGCTGCTGCTGACGTGTCGCGAATCCAGCCAGGTTTGAAGCAGTTCGTACGTACGCGGACGCATTTCCCTGGGCAAAGTGTCTTCGTTCGATGAACGATACCGTACTGTCGATGCGGTGGTGTGAGGGGGGTTCCAAGGAAGTCGCAGTCCTCGGGAACTTGATGCTAAGGTGGTACAAAAAAATATGTAGCTTTACAGACAAGCTAAGTGATATAATCTTAATATACATTACAAAAGGCATTCTATTAACACATCACGAAACATGCAAACATGACTCGAAAGCGTGAGTTACGGTAGGTAGAATGTGAAGAAATCGAAAGCAGGACCATGCAGTGCTCCACTCCATCAATGTTTTGTGGGGAGAAGCGTAGCGAACAAGCCTGGACTCAAATGGTTGAGTCTGGCACATGCAATCACCGGCTCAGGCACCTCATTCTGGTTGTTTCCCTGAAGTATTGGGAGCATCACAGGCAGACGGGCATGCAGGCAGACAGGCATGTCAAAGGGCAATGGCAGAGGATGAGGTGGACAGCAAAAAAAAGATATTGATTGCCACACAGCCACCCCACCACATTAAGTAGTGCAAATACCAACTGACGCAATAAAGCATGACCTGCATATCGTCGCAGCTTAGAAACGAGGGCAAGGCACCTGGGCAACGAGCGCAAGGCACCTTGGCAACGAGCGCAAGGCACCTGGGCAACGAGCGCAAGGCACCTGGGCAATGAGCGCAAGGTCGAGAGAAGAGTCCGGGAGCGAGCAGAGGAAAGGCAGCAGGGCCTTGCGGGACGATTGTGGCAGCTGGTGCAGGTCTATGTCTATCTCCAAGTAATCAGGACCCTGGCGTGCATAGTGATGGGGAGAAGAGCATGCGGAACAGCCAAGACAGAGGACATGGATGAGCAGAAACAATTAAGGGTGAAATCACGAGGCACGCACTTAGGCAGTTGCTGCACTATGGATTGATGGTTCCAGAACAAAAGGTAGAAAGAAAGGCAGAACGAAAGGGAAAGAAGCATGGAGCAATCAAGCGCAAGGCAGAAATGAGGCGTGTTGGGCAGCAGAGATAAAAAGGAAAGAGAGAGCACAGACCCGGAAGAACATCTGGTATGGGTGTGTTAGGATTGCAGCACTCTCCTCTTTTCCCCACTCCTCTCTCCGCCCCTTCCCTGCACCTGCTGATTTGTCCCTAACTCCCATCACTCTCCCCACCGTTCTTGATATTCTCCTTCTCACTCCCCCCTTCCTCCTGCGCACACAGCTCCTCCCAACTTCTGCCTCCACCTCAGCATCCTCCTCCTCTGAAATCCCTTCCTCATCACTCGCCCCTCTCTCCTCCTCCTCCTCGTCCTCGTCCTCGTCCTCCTCTCCCTCCTCTCCATGCAACCCTCCAGCCTCACCCCTCATCCCTCCAACCCCCCTTTCTCCTGCCCTCTCCCTCCTCGCATCCCCATTCCCTTCCTCCCGTGCGAGGACTGTCCGGGTGGAGTCTTTCGTCCCATCTCTGCGCACAACCATGAGCTTGAGGCGCTCTTTAAAGGGGACAAACGCAGCAGCGCCTGACAGCATGGCTGAGACGCGCGCCACCTCCTCCTCCTTCATTGTCTCCACCCCGCCCTTGAGCCCCTGCCCATGGAGAGGGAGGGGGGGGGGGGGGAGGGAGGGAGGGAGGGAGGGAGGGAGGGAGGGAGGGAGGGAAGTGAGGGAGGGAGGGAGGGAGAGAGGGAGGGAGGGAAGTGAGGGAGGGAGGGAGGGAGGGAGGGAGGGAGGGAAGAGAGGGAGGGAGGAGAAACGGATAGGATAGGTAGCATTGGCATGTGCTGGAAGCTTAAGCAGGGTAGCACCAAACACTGCAGACTTCCCAGCCAACCTCCAACCTCCCAGCTACTTGCCTACCAGCAAGCCTGGTCCCTGTGGTACCTTCCCAGTCTCATCTTCCTCCGTCACCCGCACGCCTATCCACCCAGCCACTAACTCACCCTGAGCAGCGACAGCATGTGGGGGGGCGCGGATGAGAAGAAGGCGGGGCAGAGGTGCGCATAGAGCACGAGGCTGAACCCTTCCGAGGCATGTGCGTCAGATGACAGCAGCGGGATGTGCGACCGGGGCGTGTGGATGGGCACCTGATGGCAGGAACGGGATGTGACAGGAGGGGGGTGGATGAGTATGGTTTGGAAGAGACGCGAGGAGAGGGTGATGGGGTTGGTCAAGATGGGATAGACAGGATCGTTGGGATGGAAGAGGTGGTTGAGTAGTGAATCAAAGGCAAACAAGAGCGGGAGAACGGGATTAAGAAAAGAGAGGAGACTGATGTTGAAAAGGAAGTGTGGAAACAAGAAGGGGTAGGTGCCAGGCGAGTGAGTGACTATCACAACCCCTCCTCCCACACTCACCTGCACGTGAATCAGCAACAGGCGCGGCAGCGCAGCAGCAAGAGCAGCGGCATCGCGAGAAGCCAAGCCTGTGGCAGCCGCAGCAGCAGCACCGGAGGGTGCAGGGCGGGGCGAAGAGGCAGCTGAGGACAGCGCAGTGGCGGTGGCGGCGGCGGTGGCAGAGGGGAGGTCCAGGAGGCGTGCGATATGGGTGAGCTTGTGGGGCGTGTGGAATACGTCAACTGCTGTGACTGTGTATGGCGTCATGTGGTGCCCCGCCTGCTTCCCACCCGTGCTGCCAGGGCAAGTGAGGCGGGGAGGAGGGGAAGAGAAAAAAAGAGAGGTTGAGGGGGGTTTGGGGTGGTGGTGTCTGCAGGGCTGAAGAAACGAAGTTGAATGAGAACTGAACAACAACTGACAGAAACTGCATTGCTCCCTGCTGCATATCCACCTGCCACACCTGAAGTAGCTTGTTCCGCGCACAGGCAGGCAGGCCGGGCTGATGGTCATCCAGCAGTGGGGGGGTGGTGGAGCGGAGAGGGGAGGCGAGGTGCAGGAGGCACGGTCAGGAGAGGAGTCAGGGGAGATGACGAGTGGGGAGGAGCGGCGGCGGGGAGGGCGGGAGAGCGACACGTGGTGTGGTAGCTGGGACCCTGGCTCGGGCATGTGAAGGACCTTGCGGGGGGCTGTGACAGGCAATGATTGGGAAGAGGAGAGGAAGGAGGGATTGGTAAAGAAGGGAGCGGCACGGTAGGGGTTAGATGCATACAATTTTAACAGATGAGGGGTGCAGGGTGCGGGGTTAGATGCATACAATGGAAATATTTGTCAGGAAATGGCATATTTATCATGAGATAGGGGAGAGGAGTAAGGGCAGCTTCAGGCAGCCTAAAAAATTCAGTTGGGTGCAAGGAAACGACGAGAAAGGATTGAGTGGGGAATAAGAGCGCGTTCAGCACCTAGTAGCATCTTGGCAACCGCAGTCTCTGCATCCACGCGCATTGGCGCGCTCACTCGTGCTGGCTGCTCCTGCCGCCGCTCCCCATCTCTCTCCCAGTACACCCCTCTGAACGCCCCAAAGTCCTCCTCTTCATCTCCTTCCTCCTCCTCCTCATCCTCCTCCTCCTCCGCGTCTGTCATATGCTGCCTAGGGGTCCTGGCAGGAGGCGGGCTCTTGAAGACAGGGGGGGTGGCAGAAGCAGCAGAGGCAGCAGCAGCAGCAGCCACGGAGTGTGCGAGCTTGTGCAGGGAGGGCACGGAGAAGGATGGTTGCAGTGACTTCCATCGACTCAAGCCTCCTCGTGCTGCTGCTGGCCCCTCTCCTTCTGACCCATCCCGTGCTAGTCCTCCTTGTACGGTCACACGTGATCTTGTCCCCCCTTGTCTCGCTCCTGCTGCTTCTCCTGTTCCTGCTCCTGCGCCTGCTCCTGCTCGTGCTGCAACTGCTGCTGCTGAGGTGAGAGAGGGAGTGGAGGAGGTGCGGGGCATGGGGGAGAGTGACACCCCGCGTTGCCGCCCTTCTAGCCCATGTACAGGACTGCTGGCGTGCCCGGTAGCACTCACACCACGGGGTACAGCGCTTGCGCTGCCATGGTTACAGTCATATGCTGCGGCTGCTGCTGCTTCACTGTGCTGTTGCCTCAAGTTTGAGAGCACAGGTGCTGCTGCTGCTACTGCTGAAGCTGGTGTTGCTGTTGCTACGGTGGGTGCAGCAGCAGGGACAGCACCACCCCCACCACCTCCGCTGCTTCTCACGTTTCTAGAACCTCCCGACTCTGCCTGTCCCTCCCTTCCCTTAGTCACCCGACTCCAAAGCTCCGGATGCAGAGACCAGGTCCGGGGCCGCTCCACACCCGCACCTGATGCATCGGAGAGCCGCCGAGGTGCGGCCGAACCAGGGGAGAAGGGGCGGTGTGTCTGCTTTGCCCGAGCACGCGTTCGAGAGGAGAAGGGGGAGTGGCGAAACGAGGTGTGAGGGGATGAGGAACGGAACGAGGATGAGTGCAGGGTAACGGCGGGAGAGCTAGGAGAGGACAAGGGGCGACGGGAGGAAGACGCGGGATCAGCAGCAGTAGTTGAATCGTTGTGCAGGTGAAGTCGAGGGGATGGTTGTGCAGAGGGAGACCTATGGAGATCAGGGAGAGATCCCGGGATGTGGCGACGAGTGGAGGAGTGAGAGGTGGTGGAGACTGGTTGAGAAGGTGTGAGTGAGGTGCTGCTGGGTGGGGCTGGCTTTATCACTGTATCTGAATGCACGGCAAAAACTTCATTCTCCAGCCATTCCGCTGCTGATGCTCCATGCACCATCCTTGCTGCATCACCCCCTTCCTTACCCCCACCCTGCTGTGACCTACCCCCCTCCCTCTCGTCCCCACTTCCACCCATACTCCACGCCCTGACTTTCCGCGGGCCAGCAGCAGGGCCAGGAGCAGTGGCAGGTGAGGAGGAGAAGCGGCGGGAGGGGGAGAGTGCAGTGCGGGCAGCGGAGAGCATTGCAGTGCCAAAGGTCCGAAGGGGAGATTGGGTGGTGCGGTGAGGGTGGGATGGAGCAGCAGTAGCCGCACTGCTGGTGGCACCAGCAGCATCGGCATCATCATCAGCAGCAGCTAAAGTGGTACCAGCAGGAGGTGTAGCAGCATTGGCAGCCTGCTGGTGTGCTTGTACAGCAACACGTGCCCCAGACTCCAGTTTCTTATGGCTACCTGTTGCCGTGTGCCGTCCCTCTTGACCCTCTGCTTCCTCCGCCCCTTCTTGTAAATCACGCTCCGCTGCCCCACTGCCCTCTCCCTCATCCTCTGCTAGATCTCCAGGATTGCTCGCACTTGGCGAGGCGAGGAGTGGCGAGGGGAGGTGCGGCGGCGGGCTGTTGAGCAGCAGTGGCGCTGTCTTGAACATATCATCCAGCTCCTCTGGTGTGTGCATGACAGACAGGGGATACGTACATGCACATGCATGGTTGCATGATTACAAGATCAGGGGGAAGGAGACATAGCAACTTGAGGATTTGAGAGTGAATGAAATAAGGTAAGACGGGCTTGCCATAGCAAAGCCTGACGAAGGGCACAAAATGCTTTTCCATTTGTGCCTCTCCATGAGCACACCCTTCACTGAACTGAACATGTCAACGCACCAGAGTTCTCACTCCCAGCACTATGGAACTCCTCCTCCTCCTCCTGTTGCTGCTCCTGCTTGCCCTCCACTCCAGGCTCCTGTGTCCCCCTCCCCATGGTCCCATCCCTCCTCCTCCTCAGGCCTGCCTTCCCATTTGTCCTCCTGTCTGCACTCAAAGAGGGCACGCATTGCTTGCTGCCTGCTGCCATAGCACAGAGGGGGGGTGTGGAGGGGAAGCAAGAATGCGACATATAAACGTGCACGCTGTTACGTGCCTTACATTACAATGCCAATGCCAATGCTGTGCCATGCTGTGCCACAGCAAACTGATAAAGGGATGCAGTAACCTAGACCCTAAACGCCTGAGCTGGTCAGACGCAGGAGAGCAGGGCCTAGGTTAGCAGCAGCCATACAAAACAGCAGCAGCAGGGCATGAGTCAGAGCAATAACGACACATCCAGGCACGACATTTGAAGGAGGAGCGTTGACAGGGAGAGTGTGTGTGTGCAGAAACGGACCTGCTTTGGAGGAGGAGGAGAAGGATGCTGACACGCGACTTCCACGAGGGGAGAGCACCTTGCGCGCAGCTGAGAACACAGAAGACAGCCCCTTGGAGCGACGGGGGGATGAGGGGCGGACGCTCATACCACCCGCATCTGCTTCTGCACATGCGATTGTGATGGTGATGGTGAGGCAGGGAGACGGAGAGCTGATGGTGATTGGCTTGACAACAGTGACGGGGGTTCAGGTGGTGGGAGGAGAGGAGCGAGGGCATTCACGTAGAGAAATGCAAAGCGGAGCATCATGGGGTGCGGTGCGGAGGGAGATCAGAGTCATTCAGGGATCAGAACAACGGACATCATCTCCTACCCGTACATCAGAGGGTAGCACTGCGGGCAAACCCAGCCCGACCCACACACCTGGGGTAATCACGGGGGTAGCGGGGTGCTGCTGAGTGCGCGCGTCACAGTGGTGGATGGTGAGCAACGCTCCTGCGCCCTCCTGTAGCTTGCCTACCAGCGCCCTGCCTGCCTGCGCTGGCAGCATCATGCCTGCCTGTGCACCCCTCTGGCACAGGCTAGCTGCTGTCATCGAACTCGCCTGGGACAGGGTGTCTGGGGAGGCGGGCGCCGGGGAGTGTGGAGTGAGGGAGAGGAAGGAGGCACGGGTGAAAGGGTAAGGAGGGACAGAGAGGCGGAGGGAAGAGGGGAGAGCAGGGAGCTGAGGTCATGTTTTTGAGGGGATGAGGGAGGCAAGGGCAATGCATGCACATGGCATGCAAGAGCATGGCCACGCGTCACATGAGCATGGCTACACATCACATGAGCATGCCTTGCAAAGAGCGCAGGGCAGAGCAGGCGAGCAGTGCGTACCAGCACGTGCAGACTGGAAGTCGTCATCAGAATGGCTGTCTGCATCCACAAACTCAGGAGGAGGGGCCGCCCCCCACCATGCTCGCTCGCCCTTCCCTGCCTTCCCTGCTGCTGCCGCTGCTGCTGTTACTGCTGTGCCACCAGCTCCTGGCCTTGGCTTGCGCTGACTGCCCTTCCTTCCCTCTGTGCCTTTCTCTGTGGCCAGGGGAAAACAACATTGCGCCTAGAAATCTTGATAGCAAGAAGGTTGATTGGAAGGTGCTTGAATGACACACAGGCAGGGAACGAGGGAACAAGGAAAAATGAGGGGATTGCCAGGAGCAAGGAAGCAAGCCAAGGGGCAAAGCCAGGCAGTGCAAGCAGTAGGGCAACTTACGAGACATCATGAAAACGTTAAGCCTGTCATTTGCATTCACAGGAACCTTCTGCTTCTCCTTCTCCTCCTTCTCTTTCTCTCGTCCTCGTCTTCTCTTCACCACCTGTACCATCAAGCCCTCCTCAGCCCCACGCGCCCCTCCATTGCACCCCTGCACTCGATCATACACCTCTTCTCCTCCTCTGGAAGTGCTACTCCCCACAACTCCCTCTTCAGACATATCCCTACCATCTCTCTCTGGACCGCTCTCCACCACACTCTTACCCTGCTGACTCGCCTTTCTCTTTCTCCTGGGAAAGCAATACCCATCCGTCCCATCCTCATCCAGCCCATGTTCACCACCCAAACAAGCCCTACTCCTGCCCTTACCCATCCGCCCTGCATGCATTTCCTCCTCCTCGCTATCACTCCCACTCGCTTCATACTGCAGGCAGCCCTTGCCACTCCCTTCACGCCGCCTGCTGGACTCTCTGCTCCTGCCCCTCCGTGACCCCTGCTTGAGCAACGACGGTCCATAGTAATCCAGAGCAGCGGAATCAGATAGTACCGGGCCGAGCAGACTTGAAGAGTTTCTGACAGCATCAGGTGCTGATACAGCTGCTCCTGCTGCTGCTGCTGCTGATGCGGACTTTGCCGCTACTGGGTTACCTGGTGCTTGGGTTGGCTTTGCTGCTCGTGGCATCCCAGCCCTTCCATCCCCACCTCCCACTCCTCCCTTGCTTCTGCTGTCATGCTGCTGCTGTTCCTCACCATTACGAGCCTGGCCTGCAGTGCCAGCCGCAATGCCCTTCTCTGCAGTTCCAGATACAAATCTCCTGCCACTGGCATTCCTTTCCACGGCCCCCTCAGCGCCGTCCGATCTCATCTCGTCCCCACTGTACGCCTCTGACCCAGCTGGCACCCCTTCTCGCCTCGCCCCCTCCGCTTCAACCCCTTCCGCTGCTCGTCCTTCCACATCCACACTGCTCGCAGTCCACTGCCGCCCCCTTGCTTCTGCCGCCAATGCTACTGTCGTGGGGGGAACGTCACGAGCAGGCCGAATCTGCAGTACACCAGACCCTTGACCAGGGCCACTGGCCATGGTGGCCACGTGGCAGTCAGGCACACAGGGTTCTATATCCGCTCCACTTGCTGCCTGCGAGCTTGAATCTGAGACACGCACAGTAAGAAAGAGAGCACGGGAGATGAGCGCGGGAGATGAGCACGGGAGATGAGCACGGGAGATGAGCACGGGAGATGAGCGCGGGCTACAAGTCATGATCACGTCTAGAGAGAGACCACAGCAAGGCCGGGCGGAGCCTGCTCCGTCTGATTCATAAGAGCTGTTATACTGCCTTGGGCTTACCTTCTCTGGCGCTCTGCAGCTCGTCTTCTCCCGAGTCCTGCCTAGAGGGTGCATCTGCAAACTCCTCGTTAGCCTCGTCCTCCCGCCCCACATCGGCTCTACCAGCAGCAGCAACAGCAGCAGCAAGTCCAGCGCCATCACCACTGCTGCTACCCCCGGCTTGTCTTCCTGCTGCTAGTTCCGCTTCCGCGGTAGAAATCGCAGCTGACGCTAGCTGCGCAAACACTGGCGCATTCTTTGCCTCCGCGTTCATTTTCCGCACTTGCTGTCCTTGCTGTCCAATGCCCGAGGTCCCCCGCGCCGCCGTTCCAACATCAGGCTTCTTCCCGGAAGCTCTGCTGCTCTGCCTCTTCTTCCCTTCGGTTTCAGAGTTAGCATCGCCTTCCTCCGCCCGGGGCTTAGAGAAGCACGAACCCATTGCGTCCCTCCCCCCTGCTCCCCTGCTCCCCCGTCCCCTGAATTCCCTGCTTCCCTTCTCCTCTGCTCCCCTGATCCCCCTGCTCACACGACTAAGACTGGCACGACAGTCACTGACACTCCTGCTGACGCCGCTGGAACTACTGCATGCTCTGGCAGCATGTGTGTCCCTGAGTGCTACCACGGACCGAGCAGCGCTTGCCACCTTTCATAGCCCGGGCCAGGGCAATCAAGGTAGCTCACGGAAATCTTCTTAGGGTGGGGTCATGACGGGTACTACTATGAAGCGGATACGTAGAAAGGTTTCAATTGCTACTTTCGAATTCGAATTAAGCTGGCTCAAACTCGTCGCATTAAGCCAAGGATTTTAAAACCTATGAGGTTGTTGGGAAGAGCTTTAATTTGTAGAAGCTGGATGCGATCCGGCCAGGCCGAACCGGCAACGTCTACTTTACGCACCGCAGCTCACGTGCGAGCCGGCCTGAATGTTAACATGGCGTTAAGAACCCCCTAGCTGCACTGGGCTGGTATGTTTCAGGGATCGACCATAACGACGACTATCGCAGTGGTTCTACGACGGACAATTAGGGTAGCAGAAACGCCGACGGGGATAGCTCCTGGGAAAAAAAGGATGATTAGGGTCCCTTGACATAGGGTGCTAAGTGCTTCGCAAGAACAATTAATGTGTCGTGTTTGGTGGAATTCGGGTTCAAATCTGCGATGGAGGAACTCAGCGGCAATGGAAATGAACGAACGGCAGAGAAGTTGGCTTGGTCAAACACCAGAGCCGAAATTCTACTCGTGTTTCGTTGGTTACGAGGACACGGCTGCAGGGTGCGAACATAGGAAACGAGAGACCATGGCGGGAGGGGAAGGTTGTGTGGTTGAGCAGCGTTGGCAGCAGTGCGTAGCAAGGAAAAGGCCGAAGTCAAAGGTTTGTCAAGCACAGGGAGAAGCAGAGAATGATCTGTGTAGCGGGGGTCACACCTACTCCCAGTTCAAACGATTTTCCACCCCACAGAACGGATTGGTCTCACATTGGGAATGTTTGGCTAGTGTTACATAAACCAGACAGAGTTCGCCTGCACTTCGCCACCCTTGTCGCTCGGCCACCTGAGAGCAAACGACGTGTCGCCAGCAGAGTTCCCTGGCAGAGAGATGGGATACAGAGCTGACAGCGCGAGTTGACGAGGCAAGGACCTTGGATTTGGTTTGGTTTGCCCCTTCCAGGCCGGAGGGAAAAGCGATTCCGGGACCTGGGAAAGGTCAGACCGATGATGAATGAAAACGGACGGCCAGCAGGAATGGTTGGTTTGGTTGATAGTTGTCAGCGAGGCATACTCGGACACGGACGAGCCTCCGACATACCCTATAGCGACAGATCCGAGCCATCTTGACGCTAGATGGTTGTTTTTACAAGAATGCAACATGATTCAACAAATATTCACACATCACACGAGGCTTGGTGAGATAATACGGTAGGACACACATCGTAGTACTAAAATTTTGACTCAAGTACCGTGCTCCTCTTTCTGAAACTGCACAGCCTCTGATATGAAATAACAACTACTCTCTCTCATCCAAGCCTTGGTTGTTCAAATAAGACAAACCCACTATGTATCAAAAGAGCTTATGGAAACCACCGACGCTGTACAAAAAGAAGACATTTCAAGCAGACTACAGGACCATACGAAAGCATCATGCATGCATATAAGCATGCAAACCTGCTGGTCAGTCCATTTTCACCACCACCTTCCCCACCACATGGCCTTCCATGCTCCGTGTCCATGCATCCCTGGCCTTCTCAAAAGGCACTGTAGCATCCAGCGTCACATTCAGCTTTCCATCAACCACCAAATTTGCCAAAACCTCCAAATCCGAGCCCTTGCCTTCCATCAAGATGGCGCACACCTTCTTGGGGCGAAAAGCAATGGAGCGCCATAACCCCAGGGCCATAACCGAAGGTGGCGGCGTGAGGTGCAACCACTTCCCGTCAGGACGAAGCACCCGGTCCACAGTGGCAACAGCCAGGCCGCTAGTGCCATCAACCACGGCGTTGTACAGCTCAGACGGCGGCAGCGGGGTAGCAGCGGAGGCAGACAGGCGCTGCCCAGCCTCCGTCTTGTAATCCAGGACCTCATCCGCTCCCAACTTTTTCGCAAACTCAAAGTTGCGCCCTCCCACGGTGGCTGTCACATGTGCTCCTGCCAGCTTGGCCAGCTGCACTGCCAGATGCCCCACGCCTCCGGACGCGTTCGCCACCAGCACACGCCCGCTGTAGCCGCCCTTGATGTCATCAGCAGGAGTGGCGGGCAGAGGCAAGCCGGCGGAATCACGCAGGGCTTGAAGGGCTGTGCGGCCCGCAATCGGGAGGGCGGCTGCGACTTCAGGGGAAATGGTGGCGGGCCTGGGAGCGCTACCTGATTCTGGCAGCACAGCATATTGTGCCAGCGCACCCAGTTTCTGGAACAGACGCACACGACGAACACCGAATTAGAGTGCTTTTCAGCAAGCGACAATGACAAACACCAAACAAATTTGCAAGAAAACGAGGTGGGACGGATCGAGGGCGTGGGAGGTAGAAGGAATAAGGAAAGCGGTCAAGAACTCACGTAGAACAACGTTGAGCCAAAGACACTGTCGCCCACTTTGAACTTGGTGACCCCTGGCCCTACGCCCACCACATCACCTGCCAGATCCAAACCTGCACCGCCAGGGACGGAGGGAGACGGAGGCGGTGTGAGGGATGAGTAAGGGAGGCACAAGTAAGGGAGGGACGAGTGAGGGAGGGACTCGGAGGAAGGGAGGGAGGAGGGAGGGATGGAGAAGGGAAGGAAAAAGGGGGAGGGAAATCAAGATGGATGGCGGAGAGGGAGGCGAGGGAAATTACCAGGAGTGGCCGGGTAGCGCAGCGGCAGGAAGGGGATGTAACCGTTTTGCATCTTCCAGTCCACGGGGTTGATGCTCGCCGCGCTCACCTTCACCAGCACCTCGCCCTTGCCAGGCTTCGGCACTGGTGCGTTCTCGTTCAGCTACGATTGTGGACGCGGGGGGAGGAGAGGGGTCCGGTGGGATGGAGAGGGGTGTGTAAGGAGGAAGGAACGGTGAGGAAGATGCGACGGTGTGACGGGACTAATCAGAACATGCTTTCAGATCTAACGTCGTAAGAAGAGAAGAGTAAGTTAGAAGTGATAGGGAGTTGTGGGACGAAACAGCGGTGCGTTCTTACATGCAAAGCCTCTGCGCCGCCGCCGCGCTTCGAGTATTGCCAGGCCGACATCTTTTCCGGCACCACTGGATCTGCACCCGCCATGGTGAACCGCGTATCGGACGGATCTGGAGTCTAAAGAAATACAGCTCAAGTCCCCTTCAGGCTTGAAGTCAAACACAAGATGTGGTGAGGTGGAGATGCAAGTCAAATTGAATTCGGGCCTGGTGGGTTGAAAGGAAAATGAGCAAAGCGAGATTGGCTGAATGTGGAGCTCCAAAAGAAACACGCGAATTTCTGCACACAGGCATCGCTTTGCTTGCTTGGTCGTCTCATTTCGCAAGCAAGTTGGACGGAGGCAGTTGCAGGTGGCGAACGAAGTAAGGGCACCGCGTGCCCCATATTGTGCGTTGTAGTGCGGTTTAGTGTTCTTTATTGCGGTTTACGCTATCAGAGATTTTTGTTGAGCGACGCATGCAGCGAAACACGCGATAGACGAACGTTGCGAAATGTTTGGCACACGCCATCGGTGCGCAATTTGGGGAATGACGTGGAGCGCTGCAGCGCGGAATTTTCGACATGATTGCGCATGTACAGCGCAAAACGGGGATCATCGGGACAGTCTACACCACTGATAAGTTCATTGATGGTCTTACCCAAGTTTCAAATGGAAATACACCATAATCTATTGCACGGGCCAAATACAAACAGGAGTCATGAACTTTCATTGTTGCTGATCACGTGACGCATTTGCATAAGAAGAGGGCATTACTAATCCGGTAAGTGGTGCAGGTGCTGCCGATGCAGCATCAGGACCAGCAGGATGTACAGGAATTATGTCCCCTCCCCCTGGTCCCTGCCTTGAAGTGCTCACTCCATTTCCCCTTGCTTCACCTGAACCCACAACTGCTGCAGCCCCAGCAGCAGCGCGGCTCCTCTGAAGCTTCCAGAACTTCTTCATCTTGCGGATCCTCGGCAACGGCCGCGGCGTCCAATCAAGCGGCGCCACATAAGCAGCTCTCGGCAGCACTGGCGTGGACTCAGCAGCGAGATGCTTGGATGCCACAGAAATAGCGGTGAGCTGGGAAGAAGCGATGGGGCGCGCAGGGGCAGAGGAGCGGCGGGGAGGCGGGAGGAAGGAGTAACCAGGCGGCACTGGGGGAAGCGGCCCAGATGCGGGTCTTGATGTGTGAGAAGTGATAGCGGTGGAGAGCGGTGGGGCTGGAGCGGACGCTGGAGGGTAAGTGGTGGGCATGGTTGGTGTGGATGTGGCAGCAGAAGTGGGTGGTTGAATGTAAGGAGAGGGCTTCGGGGCTGGTGGGGAGGAGAGGAGGGTGGAGAATGGGGCCTTGGAGAGGGCAGTGGGTGGGTGGGACAGTGCCCGCCCTGACACATCCCCATGCTCTTCCTTCAGAGATGGGTGCATAGAAGCGCTTGCAGGCTGCTGCTGTTGCTGCTGCTGCTTAGAGTCCAAGGGTGTTAGGGGAGAGGTGGTCTGAGTAGGTGAGGGTGCGGGCGCAGAGGGAGGAGCCGGAAGGGACAGAAGAGGTGACACAGGGGGAGCAGCAGACTGGTTGGTGGTGTGATGGGGCTGGGAGAGAGGAGAGGAAAGCTTGGGAGAGGACAGGAGGTGATGAGACGAGGAGTGCAAAGTGGTGCCATGCGGTGAAGTGATCCCATGTGAGAGATGAGCCTGGGACTGCTGTGCTCTGTCCTCGGCGCCCCATCCGCCCTTCCCTGCCTCCTGTGCCTCTCTGCCCTTCCTGTCACTCGCAGCAGCAGCAGCACTGTCACCACCAGTACCAGCAACAGGGGCAGGTGCAGGAGCAGAGGACCCAAACGGTGGGATGACTTGAACATCGTCTTCTTCCTCCTCTTCCTCCTCCTCCATCATCCCAATCCCATCTCTGGCATACAGTTCCCGCTCACTGGTAGTGGCTCGGTCCACTCCACCCCGCCTGTCCGCTCCTTCAACCCTCTCCTTGCTTGTTAGCCCACTCTCCCTCTCCCTGCCTTCCCTGCTGTCGCTGTAAGGAACAATGGCGCCAGTGCCAGCACCAGCAGTACTCTCTCCATGTGCACCTTGCTCACTTGCAACTTGCTCTCTTGCATTCCCAAACCCAGGATGCTCTGGTTTCTCTGCACCTTCTGCTGATCCCACAACTCTCTCCTTCCTCCTCTCTCCACCCTTTTCTTTCTCATACCCCTCTTCACCCATTGCCATTTCCTCATTTGACCTCACCCCTCTCCCTTCTCCCTGCCCCTCTCCCCGTGCCCTCTTTCCCATCATACGCTCACTCTCACCCTCCCCACTCTCCCTTCCCTTCGCCCCCTCCACCTCCATCTCACGCACCTTCCTTTTACCATCCCTCCTCTGCAAATCTCGCCCCTTACCAGGCACGCCCTCCCCTCGCCTGCTCCTCTCCCTCTGCACCTCATCAGCGCCCAGCATGATCACATCATCTGCATCCTCTTCCCCAACCTCCATCTCTTTCTCATCTTGCTTCTTCTCTCTCTCCCTCTCCTCCCTCCTTTCCTGGTCGCCCACAGTCCACCCCAGAACCCTCCTCTCCTCTTCCGCCCACCTCTCCTCTACCTCCTCCTCTGTCCGCCCCTCTCTCATCTTCAACCTTCTATCTTTCAAAATAGCTTTCCATTGCCCTCGCCCATACCGCCTCACACCAATCCACAGAGCATCCAGCTCCTCCTCGCCCCACGGCCGTCCTGCACCTGCTGCCCTGCTCCCTCGCTCCACTTCCTTCCCCAGCGCTGCCTTCTCGCCGCCAGCACCAGCAACCCCACCAGCAGCGCTAGCTCGTCTCTCCTTATCCCGTGCTTCCCCTGCTGCAGCAGCAGCAGCTGCGGCTTCCGTCCCTTCCACAAGCCAGTCCCGGTACCCTCCCTTCGCCTGTGCGCTTCGCTCCTCCCCACCTCGCCTCACGTCCTTCCCTGCACCTGACCTCCCAGCAGCACCTGCATCACGTGTTACACCTCCCCCTTCTCGCTGTTCCCTCTGGTCCCTCTCCTCCGCACTCGCCTTACCCAACCCATTCGCGGCACGCATATCCGCATCTGCCGCTGCCCCTGTGGCACCCCTTGCACCAGCACCACCAGCAGATTTTGGCGGCACAGAATTCTGAGCACCCGCTGCTGCTGCAGTAGCAGCACCAGCACCACCGGCAGCAGCACCAGGTGCAGCAGGAGTGGAAGCAGAGGCGCGGGGTTGTGGCGTCCCCCCTGCCGCCAGCAACTCCTTAGTGGCAGCAGCGATTATATCCGCAGAAGCAGGCACAGCCCCCGCACCTCTGGGCCCTATGGGGACCCCAATCACGGTGTATATGCGCTGGGGGAACGACACGTTCTGGTATCTGAGCTTTTCCACGTTGATTGCCGCTCCGCTGCCACTGTCAGCAGCAGCACCGCCACTGCCCTGCTGTTGCTGCTGCTGCTGTTGCGGTCCTGCTTGCTCGCCTTCCTTGCCTCTCTGCCCGTCCTTTGGAGTGTCTTTCTGACTCTGCTTATCTGCACGCTTCTGCCCCTTGGCCTGCCTCTGCTCCTCTGCCTTACCTGCTGCCGACCCTCGAGTTGCCTCGGGCGAAGGTGACTTAAGCGAACCCATTTTTCCTGGCACCTGTGCGCCATGCTGCTGCTGTTGCTGCTGTTGCTGCTGCTGCTGGTGGTACTGTTGCTGCTGGTACTGCTGCTGTTGCTGCTGCTGCTGCTGCTGCGGCTGTGGATTCATCCACATACCCTTCCCACCGGGACCCACACCGCCCATAACCCCGGATTGATCATGCGTGGGCATGTGCGCAAAGGACGGCAGGGGAGGCGGCGGCACAGACGTGGACTGCTGCCCAGGCGTGCGGGAGAAGGGCGGGAGGTGGGGGTAGGGGAAGCTGGGGAAGTTGGGGAGGAAGAGGAGAGGCGCCTTGCCAGTGGACTGCTGCTGAGGGGAGGACGCACTTGCCATGCCTGCTGCTGTGCTGCTGCCCATGGTCCCGGGTGCACCAGCAGCAGCACCGGCTGATCTTGCCATGTGAGTGGCGTCTGTGGTGTGGGCGCCTGAGGGCTTGCCTCCTAGAGCTGTGTTGGGTGACGGTGATGGTGATTGTGATGGTATGCTGCTGGGACGGCCGTGCTGTGCCTGTCTGCTCCCTTGCTGCTGCTGATGTTGCTGCTGGTGCTGCTGGTGGTGGTGGTGGTGGTGATGTTGCTGCTGGTGTTGCTGCTGGTGCTGCTGGTGCTGCTGCTGGTGGTGCTGGTGGTGCTGCTGCTGGTGGTGGTGCTGCTGGTGGTGGTGCTGCTGCGGCATAGGACTTGCGCTACCTGCCTTGCTTGCAGACACAGCACTCCCTCCGAACTTAAACGTGCTGGGGGTATTCAACAGACGACTATTACCACCACCCTCTCCACCTCCTCCTCCCCCTGCTTTCCCTGCTGCATGCGTCCCAGTGCTGCCTCCACGCCCGCTGCCTGCTGCAGCCGCCGCCGCCGCTGCTGCATGTGCAGCCGCGGCTGAAAGAGCAGGATTCGGTACGCCTGCCCCTGCCGCATCGCTCCCGTTGAAATTCCGCAAAACCGGGGGACGCGGAAGGAAGGAGAGAGACGAGGAGTCGACATATAGACGCTGAGGACCCCCTGTGGAGGAGTTATGACCCGCCCCTCCTGCTCCTGCCCCTGCTCCTGCCCGTGCCCCTGCTCCTGCTCCCCCCGTACCTCCACCCATGCTTGACTTCCCGAGCCCAAGATGCTGGTTCGGACTGAATGGCCGAGGCTCGGTCTTCTCCCCGGCTCTTCCCATGCCTGCATGCGCCATGGCCCCTGCTCCCCCCTGCCCTGTGCCATTCCCTGCCCCAGTCGTCCCCCCGGCACGCCATTGCCCAGCTGCTGCTGCTCCTCCTGTGATGGCTGTGCCGGGCTTGCCTGCACCAGCAGCGCCAGGGTGATTCCAGAACCATTCAGCCGGCACCTTACCCACCATGTGAGACTCTCTCCTGCCCTCCATGCCCATCACTCCACTCCCACTCGCTCCACTCGCTCCAACTGCTCCTGTTGCTCCTGCTGCTGCTGTCACTGCCGCTGCAGCAGCAGGCCCTGTACCAGACTTGCCGGTTGCCCCTGCTCCTGTTCCTGATCCTGCACCTGCAGCTGCTCCCTTGTGTGCGTGGCCGGGTAAGCCTGGCTTGCCAGCCGCATGGGAGGAGGTAGAGGCAGTGTGAGTGGCAGATGGGTGATGGGGCCGTTTGGAAGAGGCAGTGGTGGTTCTCGGCTTGGGGGGAGGTGTCTTCCCTCGGTTTGCAATACGGTCCTTCTGGCGCTGCCTCAGCTTTAGCCTGGTGTGTGAGGGCGACAGTTGGTGCGGTGAGGGGAGGGAAGGAGAGGAGGGAGGAGTATGAGAGGGTAGCTTGAGAGAGTCAAGAAATGGTAGCAGAGAGATGAGAGTTGCGAGTAAGGGAGTTGCAGCAAGCAATAAGCAGTCAGATGCTGATGGCGATGGTGTAACAGACGGAAGAGAGGAGAGAAGCACGAGCGGAGGAGCACGAACGAAAGGTGTATGGAGCACTTGCCATTTTTCTCTATGTGCCTTCCCAGCTGCTGATAGCTCCCTTGCTGGCTCCTCCTCCTCCTCATGCTCCTCCTGCACGGCGACATTCACCCACCCCACCCCCACACACACGCGCGTGCATACATTCGCACATGCACACATGCATACCCGCTCCAACACCCCTCCCCAGTCCAAAGCACAGGCCACACGCATGAAAACACCCGGTCATGACCCCTCTCCGCACGAGCCGACAAAGAGGAAAGGCACACGCACGCAAACAGACACAGAAGAGCGGAAGGAAATGGGAGTGAGGAATACAGGACGGCAGATCGAGGCAAAGAGGGATTGCAAGGAGAAGAGGTCAGGGAAGGCGGGGGGGGACAACGGAGGGAGGAGGAGGAAGGGGAGGGATGTGGGTGAAGAAAAGAAAAAGGCCCGATGCCATGCAGCATGTCACAGCCAGTGCAAGTGCGCATGTGTTGGTGGGGGTGGGGATGGCCGAGTGTGTCTCTGTGCACACATGGGCATGTGTGCATGCAAGACTGACCTTGGAGGCGGCAGCAGCAGCAGCAAGAGCAGCGGCGTCAGCAGCAGCCATGGCGGCCACTATGCCCTGCTCGTTGTACGACACCGGCTGCTGCATGTGCGGGTGTGTATGTGTGAGTGTGTGCGCGCGTGTGTGTGCGCGCGTGTGTGTGCGCGCGTGTGTGCATGCAAGACTGACCTTGGAGGCGGCGGCAGCGGCAGCAAGAGCAGCAGCATCAGCAGCAGCCATGGCGGCCACTATGCCCTGCTCGTTGTACGACACGGGTCGCCGCGTGCGCTTGCCCCGCCCCAGCAACGCACTCGTCTCCACCTGCATCTGCTCCCACCTGCCAGGGAAGAGAGCAGCCCGGGGGGAAGGGCCGGGGGGGAAGGGTGGGGGCAAGGGCCGCGGGAAAGGGCGGGGGGAGGGCGGAGAGCCAGGGTTGGGGGGGAAGGACGTTTCGCAGGGGTTGATGCAGGGAGAGGAGATATAGCAGGGGAGTTTGGGCACGATGGGGATGGATGGATGGAGGGTGGAGACAATGAATGCAGGAAAAGCAGAAAGACGGGATGGGAGGGGAGGCAGCGAGTGGAGCGAGAGGGAGAAGAGCAAGGGGATGTGGTGTGTCAGACCAGAATCACAAAGCACAAAACATGCCGACAAGTCTCAGGGGTTGCCCCACTTTGTCCCATCCCAAGTCCTCCCATCCCATCCCAACCCATCCCATCCCAACCCATCCCATCCCAACCCATCCCATCCCAGCCCATCCCATCCCAGCCCATCCCATCCCAGCCCATCCCATCCCAGCCCATCCCATCCCAGCCCATCCCATCCCATCCCATCCCATCCCATCCCATCATATCCCATCCCATCCCATGCCCGCGCATGCCCTCCCATGCCCTTTCCTCAAGTAAGCCCTGAGCCACACATACCGGTTCTTGAGCAGCCTCTCCCACTCGCCAGACGCGTCCTCCTTGTCGTCCTTGTGCTCCTTGTGCCCCTTGCCCTTCTTCCCCGCTCCTGCTCCCGCTGCCACCACCGCCTCCTCTCCCTCCTCCCCCTCCACCTCCACCACCCCTTCCTCCTCACCCGCTTCCTCCTCCACCTCCTCGTCTGCTTCCTCGAAGGTCCATGCCTGCTCACACGACATTGCAGGGAGGGGGAAATTGGGGGATCAGAGTCGGAAGAGGGGGAGAATGGGGGATCAGGGCCGGCAGAGGGGTAGAGGATTGTGGAGACGAGTGAGAGGAAGGTGAGCTCGCATCGAATCAGCCTAGTCTGCTGAGTCAGTCAAGCCAACAGGGTCAGCAGCCGCTGGGTCAGCTGCGTTAATCAAATCAGGCAAGTCAACCAAGTCAACAGAGTCAACCGAGTCAACGGAGTCAACCGAGTCAACGGAGTCAACCGAGTCAATAGAGTCAATCAAGTAAACCTAGACAACCGAGTCAGAAGCCGCACCTTGATGGACCCCAGCAGTGGCTCCCCGGCCTCCTCCTCCCCATGCGCCCCCTCGGCCACCGACCGGCACAGCAGCCTAGTGATGGCCGAGTCGTCCCACTGCAGCTTGCGCCGCCCCCCTTCATGACACGTGTCACCATACACGTTCCCCAAACTGCTCCGGTCCTTGCGCCCCTTCTTGTGCTCTCCCATATCAAACGTCCCCCCGCCTACCGCCGCCACTGCCTCTGCTGCAGCCGCACTGGCGTCGGTTACCCCGTCCCCTCCTCCCTTCACCTCCTCTACCTCGTCGCTGTCCCCCTCCTTGCCTTTCTCCTCCCCTGCTTTCTCCTCCTTGCCTCCTGCGCCTGCTCCTGCCACACCAGCAGCAGCTGCAGCAACCGCGGCAGCAGCGGCGGCGGCGGCAGCAGCAGCGGACGCAAGAGGGGTCATCTCCGCCTCCCCATCGCCCTTCCCCTTCTCACTCTGCCCCAGCACTCTCCTGCTCCTCCTCACCTGCCCCTCGCCCCCCTCCCCTTCCTCCTCCTTCCCCTCCTCCTTCTCCCCACCCTCTTTCCCACCATCCTTCCCTGCCTCACCCTTCCCCTTCCCGTCCCCATCCCCCTTCCCCCCCTCGTCCCCGCCCTCCACATCCACCTTAGCATCAGCCTCAAACAACTCATCAGCGCCCCATCGCAGAATATCCTGCAGCTCCTTCACACTCCCCGCATTCCCCGACTTGCTCGAGCCGCCACCAGCAGCACCGCCACCGGCGGCGCCACCGGGGTTGGAGGCGGAGAGGAGGTGGTCCAGGAGGAGTTTGCGCTTGGCGAGCTGTAAGATTCGTTCTTCTACGCTCGCGCGAACTACCAGACGGTACACCAGCAGCCGCTTCGACTGCCCTATGCGGTGCGCTCGGTTCATGGCCTGGCGGTGGGAGGGGGGAGGAGGGGTGAGACGGGAGATGGGAGAGGGTAGAGGGGAGAAGGGAGAAAGGACGAACAGGAGGGGAGAATGAAGAAAGGAAAGAAGGGAGCGAAGCAGGGGAGATGGGAAGGTACGGAGAGGGCGAGTGGAGAAAGGAAAAATGGGTGTAGGGTAGGGGAGCGGGGGGAAGGGAGGGGGGGGGGTCCCGAAAGCACCTCCCTCATCTCAACGCCCAAAATGAAGCGCCACAGGCACGAGTCACACCCCCCCACACCCCACACCCCACACGCCCCCCCCGTTCCCCCACTCGCACCCACCCCCCACGCCATCCCACATCCTCGACCCCACGCCCCACACCCTCCACCTCCTTCCAAGCCCGTGCGGCCAAGGCGAGCGGTTGGTGGGTGGGTGGAGCAGGAGAGTGCAGACTGTCAGGGAAATGCGCGCGCGCACCTGGATGTCAGCATGGGGGTTGAAGTCAGAGTCGTATATGATGACTGTGTCTGCCGTCGCCAGGTTGATGCCCAGCCCACATGCACGCGTTGACAGCAGAAACACAAACCGCGACATGTCCTGCACATGGGAGTGCGCGGATGGGGGGAGGGGGGAGAGGGCGGGCGGGGGGGAAAGGGGGAGGGGAGAAGGCGAGCGGGGTAGATTGGGGAGGGGGTGAAGTGAGAGGGGAGAGGGCGGGGTGGAGAGGAGGAGGGATTGGACAGGTGCAGGGGAAATGAAAGGAAGGAACGGATGGGGAAGAGAGGTTAAGTTCATGGGCAAACAAAGGGTGGATAGGGACAAGATCATAACAAACACAGGCAACTTCCATCCCGTCCCATCCCATCCCATCCCATCCCATCCCATCCCATCCCATCCCATCCCATCCCATCCCATCCCATCCCATCCCATCCCATCCCATCCCATCCCATCCCATCCCATCCCATCCCATCCCATCCCATCCCATCCCATCCCATCCCACCCCACTCCACCCCACCCCATCCCACCCCACCCGACCCGATCCCACCCCACCCCCACCCCACCTCACCACACCGCACACCACCCACCTTATTAAACCTTGCAATGGCCACCTGCCGCTCCGCCACGCCCACGCTCCCATCCACGCGCTCATACGTCCTGGGGCCAAACTTCACCGCAAGATACTCCTCGAGAATATCCAGCAGGCGAGTCATCTGCGAGAAGATGAGCACGCGGTGCCCGGCCGCTCTGAGGCGCTCCAGCATGCGGTCTAGTAGTTGTAGCTTGCCCGATGCTGCCACGCGCGCTGCCTGTAGGGATTCCATGCTGCCAGCTACTGGCTCTGTTCCTGGGATCAGGTACGGGTGGTTGCACACCTGGTGGGGGGGAGAGGGGGGGGAGAAAGGGGGGAGAAAGGGGGAGAGGGGGGAGGGGAGGGCGGAGAGGGGGAGAGAGTGTGGGGGGGGAGTGGAAGGGGCAGGGAGGAGGATGGAGGTGTGGAGAGTCAGGAGGGATGGAGAAGATGAGCACGCGGTGCCAAGCCGCTCTGAGGCGCTCCAGCATGCGGTCCAGCAGTTGTAGCTTGCCCGATGCTGCCACGCGCGCTGCCTGTAGGGATTCCATGCTGCCCGCCACGGGCTCTGTTCCTGGGATCAGGTACGGGTGGTTGCACACCTGGTGGGGGGGGGAGGAGAGGGGGAGAAAGGGGGAGGAATTGGGGAGAGGGGTAGAGAGAGTGTTGAGGGGGGGTAGAAAGGGCAGGGAGGAGGATGGAGGTGTCGGAGGTGGGGAGAGTCAGGAGGGTTGGAGAGAGACGTGTCACGATAGGGTGGTTGGTGTGTGCAGTGGAAGGAGGGAGACCATTGGCTTGTACGAGCAGAGCACTCAACTGCCAGCGTTTCTCATCCTTCCCACACACGGTTGTAGCACCCACGGCTGTAGCGCCCCCGTGGGTGGGTGGGTGTGGCTGGCAGGGAAGAGACTGACCTTGCGCAGCTGCATGACGATGTTGAGCATGGACTGGTGGCCGCCCTTGCCCGTGCGCAGCACCTGGTAGTTCTTGGTCAGCAGCGCCCGGTAGTACTCCGCCTGCTCTCCCATGCATGCACCACGCACATGCACACATGCACACATGCACATGCACATGGTGGGCATGCAGCACATGGTGGGCATGGTGCGCACGCATCAGTGCAGGGGTGCAAAAGAACCAAGCCATACATCATAAACGGAATGGATGAATACGAGCCTAAGACCAAGATGGAAGACAAGCAGCAATACCACAACCACACGAGTCTGATCACACAACAGTGGAAAGCACAACCACAACTCCATGCATACATCCCCACCAGCACCCATTCCACTGCCCATTCCCTCCCGCCAACTCGACCCCTCATCCCTTCCTCCCACGGTCCCCCCACCCAGTGTCCACCCCCCTCCCCTTCCTCCCCCCCACACACCTGCACAACGGAGAGCTCCACGGGCACAACGCGCTCCTCCTTGGGCACGACACACCATCCCTTCCCCCCCTGCCCCTCCCACCCAATACCCACCCACCCTCCCCCACCCCTCGCACCTGCACAACGGACAGCTCCACGGGCACGACGCGCTCCTCCTTGGGCGGGATGTGCTTCATGGTCTCGCGCTTGAGCCGTCTCAGCATGTGCGGCGCCACCATGCGCTGCACCTCCGCCACCTGCCCCACCGCGTCCATCGCCGCAAACCGCTCCTTGAACGCCGACAGCGACGGGAAGTCCGACGGGTGCAGGAAGGAGAGGAGGTTGTACATCTCCCCGACGTTGTTCTGCAGCGGCGTGCCTGTCAGCAGCACGCGGTGGTTGAACGAGAACGTGTTGAGCAGCGTGAACAGCTTGCTCTCGTTGTTCTTCAGTCTATGCCCTTCGTCCACCACCAGCACTTCCCATGGGATCGCGCGCAGCACCGATGTATCGGCCAGAACCATCTCAAACGTCGTCAGCATCACGTGGAACCGGTACCGCCGGTTCCCGGCCCCGCCTCCCCGCGACTTCTCCCCGCCAGCATCCCCGGAAGCGAAGAACTCGAAATCGCGGATAACGCCACGTGCCTTGGCGCTGCCGTGATACTCCACGAGGTTCAGGTGCGGCGCCCACATGGCAAACTCTGCAGACCAGTTGGGCATGGTGGAGAGCGGTACCAGCACCAGGCACGGCCCGGGCACCTTGAGCTCTGTCTTCACACACGACAGATACGACGCGGCCGATATCGTCTTCCCCAGCCCCATTTCGTCCGCCAGAATCACATTCCGCCGCCGCGCCCAGGAGCGTCTAAGCCAGTTGATCGCCTCCAGCTGATGTGGAAACAGCTTCCCTGCCAGGTTACTCGGTTGTTCCTTCAGGTCGGGGACGGCTGAGGGCTTGCGGGGGACAGGGGCGGGTGCTGGCGCCCTGGCCATGCGGTCGAAGGTCTCGTAGGCTTGGAGCACCTTGGGGTTGGAGACGATTGCAGGGCTGTTCACGTCCTCCCACGTGCATGCGTCGTACGGCAGCCCGCACCACTTCACCAGCACCTCCCGCTGCTGCCTCTGCTGCTGCTGCTGCTGCTGCTTTCCCTCCGCGTGCCGCACTCGCCCCTGCGCGCCCCGCGCCTTTGGCTTTAGCCGGCAGGCGGGGGCGGGAGAGGAAGCGGTGGGCGATGATGCGGTGGGGGTGGTTCCACTGCTCTTCCATGAGGGACAGAGGCACGCGCCCGTGGCGCTGCCGGTAGTTGTCCAGCTTGCGCTGGTTCAGCGCTGCTACCTGCTCCTCCGAAAGCCACGTGTTGTGCACGTGTGCCTTCCCCGCCCACTTCACTAGATACTCCACCACTGCCTCCTCCTCCTCCTCTTCCTCCTCATCGTCCTCTGTCTCCCCCTTCTCCTCCTTCCCCTTTGCCATCTCACTGCTCTTCTGCTGCTTCTGGTCCCCGTCTTTGCTTTTCCCAGAAGCTTTCTCGCCCTCCTTGCTGCTTGTCTCCCCTGCCTTAGCCAACTCCTTGCTTCCCTTCTCATCCTTTGCCTTCTCTTTGCCATCTGTATCCTTTTCCCTTTTCTCCCCCTCCTCTCCCTCCTTGGCCCCACTCCCCGACTTGCCTCCTTTCCCACCAGCATCCGCACTTTCTTTCTCAGCACTCTTGTCCCTCTCACCCTTCTCCTCCTCCTCGTCCGCCTTCTCCTTCCCGTTCTCCCTCTCATCCTTCCCCTTACCCTCCCCACGGCCATCCATCCACATGGCACGAGCACCACTGCCCCCAACACGACCCATTCTCACCCGCGTCTCTCCCTTCAACTCCCTCCCCGCATCGCCTCTCGTCCGTGCACTCGTCCCATCCCCCCCATCACCTGCTGCTCCTCCATCCTCCTTCCCCCCCTCCTCTTTCCCTGCTTTTTTCAGATTTCCCCCTGCCGAATCCGCATCAGGCCCAGCAGTGGCGTCTCCACCCGTCCCACCACTCCCACTGGCTGCTGCTTTAGCTCTCAGCCGTGCAATCTCCACCGAATGCCCATCAACACCAGCACCAGCATCGCCATCAGCATCACCAACCGTCACCACATCCACCTCCTCCTCTTCCTGCTCCTCCATGCTCGTCGCCCCTTCTACATCCTCCCCAGCACCAGTAAGAGAGCGCCTTTTCTCCCCTTGCCCCCCTCCCTTGCCCTCCTCGTCGCTTTCCTCCACCTCCCCCGCCTTCTTGACAGCGCCAGGCTCCTTCTTGCCCCGAATCCTGCACCCAAGTATGCGCTCAATCTGGGAACCAAGGGCCGTGCAAGGGGGGGAGGAACACAGACGAGGGGGAGAGAAAAACAAGAGTTGGTGGTGGTCAGGCGGGAGGAGGCTGCGGGAGCAACAGAATCAAGGTTTCTAGTCATGGTTCAGGGGTGAATTGTGGTCGAAGTCCAGGTGAAAACAACATATTTGGAAGGCACAGGTGCGCAAAACAACACTTTTACACTGCATTCTAGGAGGGACTGGTTTTTGGTTTGTCAATCACAAGGTTACCTCGAGAGTAGAGGCCTCAGTACACACTGGACAGATCCACGACCCCTTTGGTGCTTTCTGGAGTGAGGGGAAAGGGAAGGAGTGGAGGGGAAGGGGGACGGGAGAGGGGTAGTTGGGAAGAGGAGAGAGGAGTGGTGGCACATGAGGGGGTTAGAGATGGAGAAGAAGCATTGAGCTGATGCAATGAGATCATTACAAAGATAAAATGGAAGCAGAGGGGGAGGGGAGGGAGGGGGGGGAAGACAAGGGTTGTGAGGGGAACAAGGAATGACAAGGGGAGAAAAACAGGCAGAAGCATGGCAGCAGAGAGGAGGTGGAAAAGACCGGCGGAAGGTCGGAGGGTACCTTGAGGGGCGGGGTGAGGCAGAAGAGATGGTAGAGGCGCGGGCAGAGGTCGCAGCAGAGAAGGTACCCGGCATCGCCACACACCGCACACACCCACGACGCCTCCTCATCCTCCGCCGCATCATCCAGGCCCTTTCCCCCATCCGCCAGGGGCCCCACCAAGCTCTCAATCCGCCTCTCCATCCGCCCACCCTCCACCGCTGCCATCCTGCCTCCCCCTGATACCTTCTGCCCTGCACCAGCCACCTTCCCCCCACCTACAGCCCCCTTCTTCCCCGTCCTATCCCTTGAAACTTCCAAGTCGAGCCCTGACCGCCCCCACACTCCACCCCCCTCCTCTGCACTGTCATCTGAGGCCACCACTACCTCTTCCTCCTCGTCCCCACCCCCATCCTCCTCATCTAACCGCACACACTCATCGTCCTCCTCCTCCTGCTCCTCCTCCTCCGCTTTCCCCCCACCAAGCCTCTCCTCCTTGTCACTGTCATCAGACTCAGCCAGGCTGGTCCAGCTCATGCGGGGGGCCTTGCGCCTCTCCCTCGTGCTGCCCAGGAATTTCTGCCTGTCCGGGTCTGCCTGCCCTGGGCCTGCACCTGCCCGACGGGCAGACGCGAGGGAGGCGGGCGGGGGAGGGGAGGAGGCGGGGTGTGGAAGGTCGCTCACCCTGCGACGCTTGAACGTTCTCGGATTGGATGGCACATGCACGTGCTGCTGCTGCTGCCAACCCCTCTTACCCGCCCTTGCACCTGGTTCGCTCCCTCTCTCCTCATCCCCCCTCTCCCGCTGCTCCTGCCTCCCCCACTCCCTCCCCTTCTCATGCTTCCGATCTCGCTCCTTCTCCTGCACCTCCCTCTCCCTCTTCCCCTCACGTTCCATGTCACCCTTAGCAGCAGCAGCAGCTCGTGAGTCGGCCCGTGCTTGCCTCTCTGCTGCTGCTGCCCTACACGCGTTGCACTGCCACTCGTGCCTTTGCTTCTCCTTGGGCGCATCAGCACAGCCAGTGTGGTACACACGAGGGCACGACACACAGTGTAAGGCAGAGCCATCGCCAACAGCAGCAGTAGACGGCCTGGTTGCAGACGGTGATGCGGCGTGGAGCGGTGCATTGCACTTAAAACATTCGGAATAATTCTGCACGTTGTGGGAAAAGGAGGAAACAGAGGGAGGAAATAACGACATAGAATGAGTGAAACACAAAGACATGGGCCACAACGCACAACCTCGCACAACAATGCCTTCCCCTTCCAAAACCCGACCCGATACCACCGCAAGAATCATGCCTGTCTCCTCCACCTCCTTTCCTTCCCCTTTCTTTCAACCCCCCAAACCCAAACTGAAACAAAACTGCATATGGAGCAAACTCTAACAGCCTCCTCCCCCCTCATCCCACCATACACCCTGAGCCTCAACCTAACCCAGCGCCACTGCAGAACATACCCCTTTCCCATCGCGCCTCCTCGCCCTCCACGTTGCCCCATGCGCCCCTTTCACCGGCACCAGCACCTCCTCCTCCCCCAGCCTCGCACCGCCACTCCTGCGCACCGGCTCTGGCACTCCCACCAGCGCTGCCAGGCTCGATCCGTCTGCGTCGGGGTGCTGCTGTGCGTGCGCGTCCGCCCATGCGAGGGCTGCGCGGAAGAGAGAGCGCAGGCTGTGCACACTTGGCATGCGCTGGGGAGTGTGTGGGGATGCGGGTGATGTGGCGCACGGGGGATGGGGAAGGGAAAGGAAAAGGTAAGGGGAAGGGGAAGTGGGACGGGGAAAGGAGAAGAGGAAGGGAAAGGGAAAGGAAAGGAGAGTGAGGGGAGAAGGAAGGGGACGGGAAAGCAAATATTAGAGCAAATAAAGGTTCACGTAGAGATGCTAGTTTAATGCTTTTGTGCGCAAGGAGTAGGCAAAGTAAAGTAGGGTGGCAGGCGGAGGTTCACAGCAAGCCGGGGGAAGAGCGATGAACGAAGCTTACCTGGCGCACTAGCTGAGTGCGAACCGGAGCAAAGGGAAGGACAAGCACGCTCGCGATGGTGGCCCTGCAGAGAGGGGAGAGAGATGGACACGACAAAGGCAGTGCAATGCGGACAGGGTTGGGTGTAGCAAAGACAGCCACACGAACGACACAAGAAATGGACTGTGGGCGTGGCAAGTACGTGGAGAAGCATGCGCAGCTTTGGAGAGCGTGTGCAGTGCAGTTGACTGACCTCTTGCCAATGCGCCCCTGTAACGTTGCGATGCCTCTTTCTCCTGCCGCCGCTGCCCCCTCTATGCCAATCTGCTCTTCCTTCACTTTCGCCATCTCACCATCCTTCTTCTTATTGCCTTCACTCTTCTCCTCCACCTCATCCTCCTCCGAGCTACCACCATCACCATCGCACCCTTCGCCCTTTTCCCCCACAAGCACCACTGTCAGAGAACCCTCATGTGAGTCCCCTTCACCACCCGCCTTTCTCCCCTCCTCCTCTTCCTTCTCATCCTTGTCTTTATGCACTTTGCGGACCAGGCCGGGCCACCACGGCAGTCCTGCCTGCAGCTTCGCCCACACAAGCATCCCCTGCCTGTACGCTGCTGCAGGCACTTCCGATGGGATCAACAGTGCCTCTCCCTCTCCCTCGTCCTCTCCCTCCCCCTCCACCTCTCCCCTCCTCTCTCTGCCCCTCACTTCCTCCTCTCCATCCCGCCTCCCCTTCCCCACTCCTCCGTGTGCTCTGCTCCCGCCCCCTGCCAGCCTTACCCCGCGCCTCCGCTTCGACCCCTGCGGTGCGGACGGAAGCTGCCGACCCTGCTGCCCAGGCTCGGCAGCCAAAGCACCGGCCCCGTCATTAGAAGCGGGAGGGCGGGGCGGGAGGAGCAGCAGTTTGCGGTGCGCGGCGGGGGAGGGCGAGGCAGTGGGCGACTGGGAGAGCGGCAGCATGATGACATCTGAGCGGAACTTCTTTGGTGGAAGAGACGACCGCTTGCTGTGTGCGCGCGATGACAGCTGTGGCGATGGGGCTGCGGGGGGGGACCTGCTGCGGGAAACGAAAGGAGGAGGGGGGTGGGAGGAAGGGGCATTGGACTGGGTCCCTGTGGGAGGAAACAGTGGGACGGAGACATGGCTTGGCTTGGCAGAGACGGCTGCAAGATAACGTGCAGTTTCATGACAAGCGTGCGGACACAAGGCGAGTCGGTAATCGACTCCAGTAGATGCACACGAGTGGTGGTAAGTGAGTGCATGCGATGGGGAATGAGTGGCGGCGAGGCGACTTACGCTGCCTTGGCGGGCTTGGTTGGCGAGGTTCCCTTGGACCGCACTGTTGCTGCACACACGGCACGGCACAACGCACAGCACAAAGACATGCGCACGTTGAATAGACGTGCATTGGGGGACAGGACAACAGAGCACAGCAGAGCAGAGCGGGCGTGTAGAGCAACGCAGAGAAGAGCAGGTACAGACAGTAGTGAAGATTTTTTATTAGCCAATCGCGTGAAGCAAGATCAGGAGTCGTGAGCAGGGCGGAGGATGGCAGTACTTACCGCACATGCCGAGCAGCTTCCTTCTTAGCCATGTGCTGTTGTTGCTCGTGGTCACTTCGCCCAGCCGGGACGTGTACAGTTGCTGCACGGGAAGAGGGGCAGCAGCGGACGGAGATAAATACAGAGGGATGGACACAGGACGTTCACGGAAATGCCAGCCAACAAGCTACCACTTAGGCAGTTCGGCTCCCACAAGGTCGAGCCGAGCCAGGGCAGGGAGAGAGCAAGGAGGAAGGAGCGGCGAGACGTGGTGCAGTGACTGACCCGTAACTCCTTGAGGGGCATGTGCTCCAGCTCTGCCGCCTTCAACGGCGATGGCACGCCCTCCTGCACCTCCTCCTCCTCATCGCCCTCCTCCACCCCTTTCTCCTCCTCCCCCTCCCCTGCCTCCTCCTCCTCCTTCTCCTCCTCATCCTCATCCTCCTCTTCCTCTTCCTCCTGCTCCCCTTCTCCGTCTCCCTCCTCTTGTTCTGCATCTATCTCCTCCGCCTCGCCGTCTCCTTGCGCCTGTTCCCCGTCGTCCGACTCGTCGCTCTCACCTACGCCCCCTTCCTCATCCTCCTCAACCCCAACATCCACATCGTCGCCTGCTAACACCTGAGACAAAAGCTTCGCGTTTTCAAATGCTTCTCCCTCTCCGTCCGCAACCCCTTCCCCCTCTGGTTCCTCCTCTTCTTCGTCCTCCTCTTCCTCCTCTTCTTCCTCTTCCTCCTCCTCTTCCTCCTCCTCCTCCTCCTCCTCCTCTTCCTCCTCTCCATCAAGTTCACCCGCCTGTTCGACCCCCCTGCCACCAACCGCGCGCCCAGCACCAACGGCACCCAATCCGCCGCCCAGATCCGTCTCGTCCTCCTCTTCCGCCAACCCTTCCGCCACCTCTTCCGCCACCTCGTCTCCGCTCGACCCGTCCCCCGACTCTTCCCCGCTACCATACTCCCCAAACCTCCCGCTCCCGCTCCCTTTGACCGACATCGCAGCCCCTTGCGCGTCCCCTTCCCGCCGGTCCGCCTCTCTGGTAATGCCCGGCCGCGAGATCACAAGCTTGTTGCCGCGCCGCGCCACGCCCGCCACCAGCAGCTTCTTCCCGTGCGCGGGGTGCGCTTGCGCCCGCGGACGGGCGCCTTGCGCGCGCTCCCGCACGCGCCCGCCTTCCTCGTCGTCATCGTCTCCGTCTTGATTTCCGTCTACGTCTTCGTCCTCGTCTATGTCGTCAGATGCCTGCTCGTCCGCCCCGCCCTCGCTCCCCGCGCGACCCGCGCCCGCCGCACCCTCGTCCCCCTCCTCATCCACGTCCTCTTGCATCTCATCTTCTTCGTCTTCTTCCTCCTCCACTTCCTCCTCGATCTCCTCCTCCTCGGGCTCTTCGACTTCCTCCTCGCCGTCTGCTTCGTCTTCGATTCCTTGCTCGTCGTCACCTCCGCCCACACGCTCGCCTTTACGTTCCCCCGCACCATCCTCCTCCCTCTCCTCCTCCTCTTCCTCCTCTACCTCCTCCCCCTCCACCTCCTCCTCCTCCTCTCCATCACCCCCCTCCTCGCCTTCACCTTCGTCACCTCCCCCATCTTCATCCTCGTCCCCCCCATCCGCCTCCCCCTCAACCATGTCCTCATCATCGTCCTCCTCCCCCTCCCCCTCCCCCTCATCCCCTTGAGCCTCGTCGTCTTCCCCCTCGTCGTCTTCCACCTCCTCCTCGTCCTCCTCCTCCTCATCTTCATGCTCCTTCTCCGTCGCATACTGCAGCCCCCTCGAGCCTGCGCCTTCTCTTGCACTGCGACCCGGAACCGCATTCGTCGATAGATCCGCGGGACCTGATCGCGCGCCAGCCATGGACGGCGCGCGCGCGGGGGAGCGCGCCAAGTACCTCCCCCGCGATGCCTTCCCCTCGCCGTCAACGTCCATCGTCCCCCGTGCGACTCAGCACCGTGTATTGACAAGCAACTGAAAGGATCTCGAGATGATCAAGCCGCAACGTTACTTTTCCAAGATTAAGACTCCACTGACGAGCGATATCTCCACACCAACCCGAGTCTTTAACCTACACTCCGGAAGACAGTGCCGCGCACGGTAGCCCACTGCGGTTTCCAAGTCCTCGGAGTGGTCGATAAGTTGCCGTGCACTCCCTTAAAAATATACCCGACGATGGTGCCGGTCGAATGTAAGAAGCCACTTAGTCGATGGTAAGTAGAGACTTCACACCCCAGTTCCACGATGGGCAACCAAGAGGGTGTGCTTACCCTCCAACATCTCCGATTAAAGTGGTCCCCTTAGCGATCCGAGCAATATGGGATCATACGTCACCGCCGTCACGAAACTTTGCGACTTTGCCGACACGCGAAGAGATCACGCAGGAAGGTGACTAATAGCCGAACCCTCAGCGCAGGTCGCGGACAGACATGGACTCATCAGACGAGTAATTCACGCGACCAAACCCTAGCCAACGACTCTAAGAAAGCGATAAGACTTGCGCACATCGCTGCCTCTTCTTCTCCGCTCGTTCCGCCACCACCTCACCTGGCGTGCAGCGCGCCACGGCCAGGCTCTGGGGTAGGACAAGCGGATGGGGAAGGTTGCGGTGGGGAGATTCCGTTTGGCGGAATCCCCATGCCACGTGGCAAACCCCATCAAATCACTGTTGCGGAGGTTCGGAAATCGCAAGTTCGGGCGTGCGAAGCTGAAGCGACGTTTCGCGGTGGGCGGATTCATCGCACGCAAGGGCAACGAGGGGTGAACTTGCGGAAACGCGCGCAGATCTTGCGCAAGGTGGCACACCTCGTCCGCCAGATATTCCCAAGGGGGAAGGCCACAGCCCACCAACATCCACCGCAATCGCCACTGGGTTGGGGACGCTCAAAGACGGAACCTCATCAAGTGCTGCAAATTGCATAGTCAAAGGAATAATCAGCCCTTTACATAAACAATTTGCGAAATGTATACAGTCGCACTGAACAAAAGTGTTCGCTTACGAAAAATGGGTCTGGCAGCAAACCCTAGCTGAGCGACCGGCTCGGTTCCGAGCCTATAATTTGAATGGCAACGAAACGAGCCAGTCAGAAGCAAGACTGCCGAAGCGCAAGCCTACAAGAAAGCAACGTCGAACCGCGCTTCTGATTCCGCCACCCTGTCATCCTCGATCTTGCCTTGAAGTGCATCTTCTGCAGATCGACGGCGTACGAGAATGCTCGGTGCAACTAGCGCGCAGTGCCAGCAGGATTCATTGGCTCTCCTAATCTCGCGGCTTTACCCAAATGACTACCGCTGGGGTTGGTCGGTGTAAATGGTGGCGGGCACGAGTGACCCAGTCAGTGTCCATGGCGGCGAAAGTCTCACATGCCTGCTTCACGGTTGTAAAATAAGCAAATCCGAATGTGAAAGTCCACCGACCGTCATCCGATAGAAGTTCCCTGTATGATTTCCACGCGCGAATCACTTTAGGCGTAAGCAGTCGCTACTTGCGATCGGGAACGACTGCATTCCACCACGAAAGAGAGTCGAACAGATCTGCCACCCTTGAGATCACCATGTCGCTTGCCCATATTCCAACGCTAGACGTGTGCTTTAGATCTAGACCACCAACGTTCGCGGTTCAAGTTGAGTGTCTTACCTCGGCACACCCTTGGTGCTTCAGTGCTCGCTTTCCTTAACTCTCTTTAAGCGAGCATCGAGCAGGCAGCACTTTTTATCCCCGATGCGGCCTTTGCGATGACACGCATCTGTTCATCCGCGCACCCACACTTCCCTCTTCTTATCCTACTCCTCCTTCTAAATCATTTCGCAAAGAACGTTGCTTTGGGGGTTCCATCAGATCCACCCGCCGTGGACAGCGGCGCCGATCGCGCGGTCATATCCGCGGGCGTGGACGATCCGCGGTCAGACCGCGTTGTGGGTAAGTGGAGGCAGCTTTCCGTTCGACAATAACCAGTCTGAGGTTGCGTCATCATCGCCCTTTCAATCGCCTTCGTGCTACCCTGCTTAGCTGGATGGGCCGCTGGTTCCGAAAACGACAAGCAGCCCGTACCGCTTCCCCCCAGGCACGATGGTAGCTTGTACTACGCGGATCGCGCTGCTTATGGTCGTAGCGCGTTCCGCCTTACTTCCGCGCCGACGACCTCCTGTGCGTTCTGTACCCCATCCCTTCCCCTTCCCCACGCACTCCACCCCCTTATCCTTCCCCCTTCCCCTTCCCCCTTCAACTGGTCTTTGCCCCAGCGGAGCCGGCGGAGGGTGGCAGGGCGGTGTGCAGGTTCGACGGGGCAACAGGCACCTTCTCACACGAGCCGTACGAGCCAACCAGGTGCGAAGCGGATAATGATCGCCGAAACGAAACTCGTAGTATTCTCCATTGGAGCCCACGAAGTGTTGTTTTTGGGTTCTGAGTGCCCTATATGCACAGCAGAATATGCTGATCTGAGCTGAAGGGCTGAACAGCTTTTATTTCCTGCTGCGCCTGCGAGGCAGTGAATGATACCCTGCCTGTGCACTCTGCTCTGCTGCCCTCTCCCTTCTCTCACCCTCCCTCGCCCCTCGTTTATGCCCCCTTCTCATCCTCTCAGCACGCTTACCTCAGACGACTCCTGGGCACCACATGGCATCGCACTGCACCTCTCTGGATCCTGTCGTTTCCTCTTGAACGCCTCCTGCGCTGTGGTTGCCGTCATTCCAGGTAGCTGCCCTCCTCCCCCAGCCTGACTGCTAGCTGCATGCTCCTTAGTCCAAAGCTTCTGACCTCGTCCTTTTCCCCAGAAACCTGGGACTTTCACACTGTCCCGTCTCATTTCATGTCCCGTCCATCCGTCCCTCCGTCCCTCCATCCCTTTCTCCAGAGCCATGTGACGACAACGATTCCTGCACTCTCGACGCCTGTGCATGGCACGGCCATGGCCCCTTGTCCCTCTCGCCCTGCCTGCCCCACCCCCACTGCTTCTTCCACCCGCCCCGCTGCACGCACACCCCTCTCCCTGACTGCGCGCACAGTACCACCACCACCACCGCCACCACCACCACCACCACAACCGTGTCTCCCCTTGGCCTACTCTCCTCCTCCTCGCCCACTCCCAGTCAAATTGCCTTGCCGTCTGAAACTACCACTCCGCTCGCTCTCCATGCCCAACCGCACTCCCGTGCCCTCCCTCTGCTCTACCCCCCGCCTGCACCTCTTGCCCCATCCCCACCTGCGCCGCACTACTCCCACATGGCCCTAGCACGCTCCCTCCAGCCACACAACCTCGACTGTTCATTCCACTCACACCCTCCGCCCTCCGCTCGCCCCTCCTCTGCACCGCCTGCACTCCCATCTCTACCATCCCTCCCCGGCCACACACCCACCAGCCCACTCCACACCATGCCCACCTGCCCCTCGCCCTTCTTCCCCTCTGTCTCATCCAATCCTCTCTCCTCCCCCTTTCCCCTAGCTCTCCCTAACACGCTGGTCCGTTCATCCCTCCCATGGGGCCTCCTCCCCCTCACCGCCATTCCGCTGCCCGCACAGCAAGTGCCCTCATCCACAGTAGGTCGTCGGGAAGCCATGGAGGGGAGCAGGTTGGCGGAGGGGTGGGGGAATGGTGAGGCGCTCCTGATTCCGCACCACATGCACTTGCATCCCCCCCTGCCGCTGCTTCCGCCTGTGGCACAGTCGCCACCACTGCTGCTGCTGCCACTGCAGCTGCCAAAGCCGCAGCGGGAGGAGCGAGATGGAGGTGTTGTACTGTGGGAGCCGCAGATGCAGGAGGAGGGGGAGGGGGAGGGGCTGGGTGGTGGGGAAGGGGAGGGGATGGGTGAGGGGGAAGGGGAGGTGGAAGAGGAAGAAGAGGAAGGAGGAATAAAGGTAGGGGAGGAGGAGGAGGAGGAGGAGGAGGAGAATAAACAGGAAGAGGAGCAGCAGCAACAGCAGGAGCACCAGCAACAGCAGGAGCAGCAGCAACAGCAGCAGCAGCAGCAACAGCAGAAGCAGCAGCGGCAGGAGGAGCAGCGGCAGCAACAACAACAGGAGCAGCAGAAGCAACAGGAGCAGCAACAACAGCAGCAGCAGCAGCAGCAGCAGAAACAGCAGCAGCAGCAGCAGAAGCAGCAGCAGCAGCAGCAGCGGCAGCAGCAGGAGCGGCAGCAGGAGCAGCAGAAGCAGCAGCAGCAGGAGCAGGAGCAGGAGCAGGAGCAGGAGCAGGAGTGGGAGCAGGAGCAGGAGCAGGAGCAGCAGGAGCAGCAGGAGCAGCAGCAGGAGCAGCAGCAGCAGGAGGAGGAGGAGGAGGAGCAGCAGCAGGAGCAGGAGAAGGAGCAGGAGCAGAGGGAGGGTGAGGCGGGGACAGAGGAAGCCCATGATCGGCTAGCGACCATCGCATCTGTAGACCCCTTGCAATCACGTACCCACCGCACCACCTCCTCTTTGGCTCATAAACCAACCCCCTACTCCCCCCAACCACATCCTCCCCACCACCCTCTCGTCACTTCTTCAGCTAGCACAGCAGCAGCCAGCAACACACACCATCCATCCTCTGCCACTTTCCCCAAGCGCAAGCACACACACCCACCTCTGGCACCTCTCTCCCCGCACACCACCCATGGCACGGTGTCCTCCTCCTCGCGCCTGCCCCTCATGTCCCCCTCCTCCCCCTTCACCAACTCCCTCCACTGGCCCCGCTCCCCCCCGCCCTCTCTGCACCGCCCCCGCCCCCGCACGTCTCGCTCTCCTCTCTCTCCCCCTCCCAGCTCCTCCTCACACCATCCCTTGTCACACCCTCCCAGCCCTGCTGCTCCCAAACCCCATCCGTCCAAGATGCATCCTCCCAAGCCTCGTGCTCCTAAACCCCCGACTGATCGATCTGAAACGCTACATAAGGGGCCCCCGCCAGCCCCCAGTCCCCCGCAATCCAGAGCCGATGCAGACTCGCAGGAATCATACGACCAATTACCGTTTGCATGGGACCGCCCCTACTTGTCCCCAGCCTCGCCCCGCCACGCCCCCACACGCCACTCCTCGTGGCACCCACCCCCTCCAGCCAAGAAGACAAGCCGTGCAAAGCACAAGAAGCGAAAGACCCCCCCTGCTGGGGGAGCAGGTGCAACGACAGTGAAGAAGCCCCCTAGGGGACGCCGGCCAACCCCACCACCTCCACCACCACCTCCCCCTGCACCTCCGGTTGCTCCCACTCGACCACCAGCAGGCTCTGCAGCTCCGCCTGGTGCACTGCCTTCAGGGCAGGGAGGGGGACCAGCAGCACCAGGCAAGCCGCGCAGACGGAAGAGGCCACCACTGCCAGAAGCAGGCGGAGGGACCACCACCGTCTCCCCAGCTCCCTCCTTGCGCTCCCCCTCCCCTTCTCTCCGCCCCCGTGCTCACCCCCGGCCGCCTCTGCCTCGGCCCCGCGCGCCCCCTCCTCCTCCTCCGCCGCCGCCGCCTCCTCCCAGGAGGCTCAAGCGGGGAAGGAAGAGACCTAGACCCCCGCTCTTCTTCCCTCCTCATTCTCCTCCTCCTCTTCCTCCCGCCCCTCCTCCCCCTCCTCCGCCTCCTCCCCCTCCTCCGCCTCCTCGCTCCCCTACTCCTGCTCCTGCTGCTCCACGTGCACCGCAGCGCCCTCCCCCGCCACCGCCACCGAGGGGTAACGCCAAGCCAGTACCGCCAGAAGTGGAAGGCAACAGCGTGGAGGGAGGGAGCAGTGGCGGCAATGGCAGCACCACCACCAGTGGCAGCGACGACAATGGAAGCGGCAGCAGCAACCAAGAGTCACTCCCTCCCATGTCTCCCCCGTTTCCTCCCCCATCTTCTTCTCCGTCCCCGCTCCCCTTTCCCTCGCCCCCATTCTCATCTCCTTCCTTACTTCCTCCTCCTCTCATGCCCTCTCCTCCCTCTCCCCCCTTTGTCACACCGCCTTCATCCCCTGTGTCGCCTTCCAGGCCCCCCTCCCGCCGCCACCCTCCTCTCCGCACCCCACCACCCCTCCCTGCTCCTCCTATTCCCTCTCCCGGTTCCTCACTTCCTCCCTCGTTCCTCTCGCCTTCTCCACCACTGTCCTCCACCCCTCCACCACCCCCTCCTGTGCTCCCCCCTGCCAGGTCCCCACCCGGACCTTCTCCCAGACCCCCTCTCAGACCCCCTCCCAGGCCTCCTCCTCCTGCCAAGCCCCCCCTCAGTCCACCCCGCCTTCCCCCACCAAAACCCCCTCCTAGCCCACCCAAGTTCCCCCCTCCTTCCCCACCTCCCCGCCCCCCTTCCCCCCCACCCAAGCGCCGCCACCCCGCGCCACGTCCCCCTCGCCCCCCTTCCCCCCCACGGCCCCCACCACGCCGTCCCCCCCTCCGCCCCCCTCCTCGTCGCCCTCCCCCACGCCCACCCCCACGCCCCCCTCCTCCAAAGCCCCCATCGCCCCCCCCGCCCATCCTCCCTTCCCCCGAGGGCGTGTTCAACGTGAGGGCGTTCGGGGCGGTGGGGGATGGGAAGACAGACGATACAGATGCAATGAGCCGAGCGTTCGCAAGGGCGTGCGAGTACGATGGGGGGCGGCAGGGCAGGCGGGCGACGGTGCTGTTCCCGCGGGGCTTCACGTTCTTCATGAAGGGGCGCAACGTGGTGTGGCAAGGGCCCTGCAACAGCGGCGGCCTCGTTCTCAGGGTCAGCTGCGTTCTCTCTGTGCCTTTTTTCCCATGCCTTGCTCATTCCCGTGCCTTGCTCATTCCCGTGCCTTGCCATGCTATGTCCTCGCTGATCGACCCACCTATGCCTGTCATCAGCCATTCCACAGCCAAACACATATCCACTTCACAATCATCCGCTCGTCTCTTCTCGCTCACCGCACATTCTGCCTTCTCCCCACCCACACTTCCCCCCCGCGCCACTCTCTCAACGCGCCATGCACCCAGGTGGACGGCATGATATCGAGCTACCCACGTGGGGTGTCATACCTGACGCCCATCATCAACCTGCTCTCCATCCCACGCCTGCTTGTCACGGGCACGGGGCGCATGGACGGGCAGGGCTACGAGGTGTGGCCACGTGCAGCGCGGCGCCCGTACCTGCTGCAGCTGGAGAACTGCACGGATGCCGAGGTCACCGGCATCACCATCAGGTGCGTGCGTTGTGCTGCTCTGCGCTGCCACATGCCCTGCTCCACTCATGCTTCACGTGGGCCGGATTCTCACATGGATCTGGTTCACATGAATCTGGTTCGGGTGAATCTGGTTCAATTGAATCTGGTTCGGGTGAATCTGGTTCAGGTGGATTTGAACCAGGTTACATCACAACCTGAGGTCACCGGTTCTCCACATCCCTCGTCCCCGTCCCAACCCCCTGTCAACTAACCCCCCAGCAACCCAGCGAAGGTGCATTTGAACATCCGGTTCTGCGAGCGCGTGTGGATCCACGAGTTTGAGACGCGCACGCCGTACAACGGCGGCAACACGGACAGCATCCACATCGTCTTCTCCTCCGACGTGCTCATTGAGGACTGCACCCTGCACGGCGGTGAGCGCCCCCTGCCGCCGCTGCTGCTGCTGCTGCTGCTGCTGCCCCAGGGCAGAGTGGGGGAGGAAAAGGGGGGGACTGGGGGAGGGGTGGGGAATAGAGGTGCACGGTTGGGGGATTATGGTGGAGAGTGGGAGGGTTCTTTGTGTGTGGCAGTTGATTCGCGCTCTGCGTGCTGGAACACGTGTGACGTGTGTGACGTGTGTGCGTGTGTGTGAGTGCAGGCGACGACAACGTGTCGATAGTGGGTAGCTCCTCCAACATCCTCATTCAGAACGTTGTCTGCACTGCTGGCCATGGCATCAGGTGCGCTCATGCTTACCCCCACCCTCACCCTCACCATCACACTCACGTCACTGCTGCACGCTTTCCCAGCAGTCCCCCGCATCCCTGCTCTCAACACCCTCATCATGTGCATCACGTACGAGTGCAGCTCTCAACACCCTCATCATGTGCATCACGTACGAGTGCAGCTCTCAACACCCTCATCATGTGCATCACGTACGAGTGCAGCTCTCAACACCCTCATCATGTGCATCACGTACGAGTGCAGCTCTCAACACCCTCATCATGTGCATCACGTACGAGTGCAGCTCTCAACACCCTCATCATGTGCATCACGTACGAGTGCAGCTCTCAACACCCTCATCATGTGCATCACGTACGAGTGCAGCTCTCAACACCCTCATCATGTGCATCACGTACGAGTGCAGCTCTCAACACCCTCATCATGTGCATCACGTACGAGTGCAGCTCTCAACACCCTCATCATGTGCATCACGTACGAGTGCAGCTCTCAACACCCTCATCATGTGCATCACGTACGAGTGCAGCTCTCAACACCCTCATCATGTGCATCACGTACGAGTGCAGCTCTCAACACCCTCATCATGTGCATCACGTACGAGTGCAGCTCTCAACACCCTCATCATGTGCATCACGTACGAGTGCAGCTCTCAACACCCTCATCATGTGCATCACGTACGAGTGCAGCTCTCAACACCCTCATCATGTGCATCACGTACGAGTGCAGCTCTCAACACCCTCATCATGTGCATCACGTACGAGTGCAGCTCTCAACACCCTCATCATGTGCATCACGTACGAGTGCAGCTCTCAACACCCTCATCATGTGCATCACGTACGAGTGCAGCTCTCAACACCCTCATCATGTGCATCACGTACGAGTGCAGCTCTCAACACCCTCATCATGTGCATCACGTACGAGTGCAGCTCTCAACACCCTCATCATGTGCATCACGTACGAGTGCAGCTCTCAACACCCTCATCATGTGCATCACGTACGAGTGCAGCTCTCAACACCCTCATCATGTGCATCACGTACGAGTGCAGCTCTCAACACCCTCATCATGTGCATCACGTACGAGTGCAGCTCTCAACACCCTCATCATGTGCATCACGTACGAGTGCAGCTCTCAACACCCTCATCATGTGCATCACGTACGAGTGCAGCTCTCAACACCCTCATCATGTGCATCACGTACGAGTGCAGCTCTCAACACCCTCATCATGTGCATCACGTACGAGTGCAGCTCTCAACACCCTCATCATGTGCATCACGTACGAGTGCAGCTCTCAACACCCTCATCATGTGCATCACGTACGAGTGCAGCTCTCAACACCCTCATCATGTGCATCACGTACGAGTGCAGCTCTCAACACCCTCATCATGTGCATCACGTACGAGTGCAGCTCTCAACACCCTCATCATGTGCATCACGTACGAGTGCAGCTCTCAACACCCTCATCATGTGCATCACGTACGAGTGCAGCTCTCAACACCCTCATCATGTGCATCACGTACGAGTGCAGCTCTCAACTCTCCCCTCTACCTCTCTCTTCCCCGCCACCAGCATCGGCAGCCTGGGGAACTACGGCGCGCTGGCGTGTGTGCAGAACGTGACGGTGCGCAACGTGTTCATGGCGGGGCTGCAGAACGGGGTGCGCATCAAGACGTACGAGACGGGGCAGGGCGCCGTGTGGAACATACGCTACGACAACATCACCATGGTGGACGTGGGTCGCCCCATCATCATTGACCAGGTGAACCGTCAACCTCACCTCACTCCCTCACGAACCTCCCTCAGATGGAAGTCAGCATAAATTGTGCCCTTTGGCACAAAGAGCTGCAGCTTGTTGTTATGCGCCCCTCTTTTTCCATCCAGTCATTGACCCCCTCCTGGCTCCCGTCTGCCACCCCTGGTATCGTTTCCTTCCCACTCCGCCTGACCCAGTACTACTGCGAGCGGGAGCCGTGTGACGACGGGCACAGCGGCATTGCGGTGTTCAACGTGTCTTACTCACGCATCCGCGGCACCACCAACGGCAGCGCCGTGGGCGGTATTGAGTTGCGGTGCAGCAACCACACGCCGTGCGGGCAGATCTCTCTCTGGGACGTGCACCTGCGCCACAGCAGGTCCAAGGTGCAGCTCAAGCCGGTCTTCATGCACGCGTACGGCAGCAGCAGGAACGTGCAGCCGTGGAGTGAGGAGAGCACGGGCACGTGGAGTAAGACGAGTCTGTCCAAGGCTGCAGCTGGCCGAATCACCGCCGAGTATGGCAAGTGTGGCGGGTGAGTGGGCTCACTCTGTGCCATGCCAGCTTGCTTTCCAATCCCCTGCTGCGACGTCTTGCCTGCTGGCTTGTTCTCCCACCTGCTCCACTTCACATATGAACTTTGCCACACTGCCGTATCCCCCATTCAACAACCTGTCAGAATCCCAGTCACTAACCACTGGGATAAAAGGGCTTGTTTGTGTAGCGGGTGAGTGCGCCCATAACCCCCCAGGCCAACATGCCTGTAACCCTTCCCTAGGATCATCGGGGATCTCCAGTGGACCTCTGACACAACCTAGATCCCTGTGCCATGTGCTATGTCTGCCTTGCCAGAAGTGGATTTCCTTGGAGCAAGTTATCCGCGACGCGCGTACTTCTTCCCCCATCAGCAACTGCTGCATCTGTCCCTCCTGATGCGTGACCCCTCTGCATGCTGCTGCTTCAAGCTCTACGGCATTGCTCTTACCTCACAAGGCTCCATACCGTAAGTTGTCTCCACTGCCACAGCTCCTCAAAGCATGTAACACCATGGTCATAAATTCAGTCGTCACATAACTGGATGGACGAACGAGTATGTTAGTTCCTGTGCATGTGATCGTATCAATTTTACAGTCTGGATTGGTCACATGGCGAGTGGTGTTGTTAAGAGATAATCAAAATAGAGCATACATTTCTACACTTGCAAAACGTGAATTCAGCCATTTGCTAACTCAGGTATTACAAATTTAACCTCAGCATGCATTCTTAATGATGTGGCGTCACTAACAATGATTGCCGAAGTAGGAAACTTTGCAACATTCACGCTCAATAGGAAAATCTCGTTTCAAGATGTGTGAGAGTTATTTAAACTACTATTTAAACTAATGTAAGACCTATAAGACACCCAAAATCTCCCCAAATACAACACAATCCTAACTATTTTTCTAGTATATAAGATAAGAGATTTATGTCTCATATCCCGGCAATGACCGTAGCCGTAGGCGTAGCTAGGATAGGAGGTTTAGGAACTAGGAGATAGCAAATTGTTGAGATAGGACAAAAAGGGGTTCCAATAGAGGGCAAAGCCTAACAAGTACAAGCGAGGGAAGTGTCAAATGTTATACATTATCATAATAGGCTCTAGTAAGACGCACTATAGAGGGTACAACTCTTTCTATGGTTACTAACTTACTATTTGTATCACCCACCTTGCTGGTCAATGCATTTCGTTGTGTTCTCTTTCTAAGAGGAAGGGCAATTTGGGTTGCACACCTACACTACGACGCACTGTAGCTACACTAGATCATGTAGCAAGCATATTATGCAGGACTTCAATTTTAACACAACCCCAAATTGTTGCAGCATGAATCCCTGAAGGGGTATACCGCTCGACAGCTGGAACAGTCATGTGCAACGTCGGCAAGTGGAGCAGTGGCAGATTCAGTGGCGGCATGTGGGCAACGACAACAGATGCAGCATAGCCAAGTGCGGCAGCGGCAGACGCTTCCTCAGCTACAGCAGGCAATGACGGCAAGTGCTCAGCAACAGCAGGTGCACCGCCTGCAGCACGCAGCAGCGGTAAATGCTAAACGGCAGTAGGTGCGGCAGCGGCAGGTGCAACATGTTAGAACCTCCTTAGTCTTAGGAACCCTAGGCTAGAGTGGTGAGAGAGATTAGCGAGAGAAAAGGGGTTCTCACTATAGCACTGGTACAAGATATAGCAAGCACATGTGGCTATGGGAGCTAGACCACCAATACAATACATAAACAGTGATACTACACTAACTATATTGTATGCAGTTACATAAAGAATACAATTCTTGACATCCACCCTTAACTGCATTCAAGCATAGTCAGTGAGGGACGCCATACCCTAAAAGCAGTCATCACCGTGCCGCAACTTGAACCACCATGGTTGAACCCAGGTGCCCAGTTGCGGTTTAACCTCCGCAACAGAGTCAGAAGACTGAGCAAGCATCATTATAGTTTGACACACCCCCATAGGCAAAGTGGGGGAGAACCAGTGGTCACAAGACCAGTCAAGAAAAGCAAAACAAGCTCAGGGTGGATCACGAAGTCACCACACATTCTGAGCACAAGCAAATGGCCACAAGGCCAGTTCATATGCAGAGGTATATAAAAGAGAGCAAACAGTACAGCGACCACTACCTAGCAAGAGTAAGCATGCAGGTATATATATAGATCACAGTACAAACAAAGTCAAGCAGTGAGCAAGTGAGACGAAGCAGGCACAAGGCCTAAAGCAGTACAGAAACGCTGATGATCGCCGGGCGGAAGTGCCATGGTGAATATATCAGCAATGTTGGCCCGAGTGGCCACTCACGTAAGAAAGACGAAGATGATCACGCTGCTGCAAATCTCGAGCAAGGAAGTAACGCAGAGCGATGCGCTTCGTTCTGTGCTCCAGACTGTGCTCCTGACACAAGGCAATAGCGGCCTTGTTGTCTACGTACAGAATTGGAGGAGAATAAAGCCGCTCCCCCAAGTCGGTCAGTAGGTAGGTGAGCCAGCGTAACTCCTGTGCAGCCATTGGAGGAAGACGGGCGAGTAGACCGCCAAGAAACATAGCCGGAGCCAAGGCTGAACGTGTAACCCTGTGACGACCGCTGCGTAGCCAGGTCATCAAACTAGACGCGTTGGAGTGTCCAGTGAGGGCAACTTGACTCCGTCCTCCAAGCACGAGCCCCATGCCCGATGTACTGCACAATTAGTGCAACACCCTCTTAGCATCCCCCAGTGCTCTCGGCGGTGTCTCCCGGGCGCAACGTAGCGTGCCAGGATGCTAAGAGGGTAGGCAAGGTCAGGTCATCAGGTACATGAGACAGCCCACAAGCTCTGGATACGGGCCACTCGGCTCTACGGACTCGTCTGAAGGTGGAGCTGAGAGCGAGTGACCGGTAGCCAGAGGAGTGGACTGTGGCGAGGACCAAGTGAAGCCGAAGCGCTGAAGGACCTGCTGCACCATATGTGACTGAGTCAGGGTGATGGTGTGCCGTGCTCTGTCCCAGGCGATCTGCAAGTTAAGTTAGGTGTGCAGTTCACCCAGGTCTGAGCACGTGCGTCTCTTCTGCAGCTCCGACTTCAGTGCCTCAGCGTCAGCAGTGGCAAAAACCAAGTCGTCAACGTACACGAGAAAGGAAGTAGAACGGCGGAAGCGAGGTGTCGGTGCGCAGAAACAGCGACGGGTCAGCAATCGAAGGAGCAAACCCAAGAGCCGCAAGTGCCGTCCTCGGTGTGTCGTGCCACTCACGAGGCGCCTGGCGGAGACCGTAGACCGGCCGTCGGAGGCTCCACTGGGTACCTGCAGGAAACGACCCAGTGAAGCCAGGTGGGCGACGCAGCCAGATCTCCTCGTGCAGGCTGCCCTGAAAGAAAGCTCGTAGTCACGCTGAGCGGCAACGTGCAGCAGCACCCGAAGAGTGGTCATCTTCGGGGTAGGGGAGAAGGTCTGGAAGAAGTCAACTCCCTGTCGCTGACTGAAGCCTCGTGCAACGTAACGAGCCTTGAAGACAGGCGGAGAGGAGTAGGGACCCGTAATCACCTCTGCGTAAGAGCGCGGGGTCGGGATGTTCAGTGCATCCGGGTCTCCCTCAGGTGCAAGCAGCATGGCCACGAGATGAGGTACAGTAGCTGCAAGACAAGCAGTCCTCCTGCCTATCCTCAAGGACGTCTGTGCCAAGAGCACACTCACCCCCGACGGATGGAGGACAGACAGACTCAGACTCAGCAACAAGAGTAATGGCGTAGTCAAGACGATACGCAGCAGCAAAGTCAACAAGCTCAGCAACTAAGGCAGACGTAGCAGCGGACTCAAACGAAGGGTCAGTGACAACAGTGGCTAACAGACGTGTGACAGTAGGGCTAGCAACATGAACCAAGTCAGACTCAGGGTCCGGAACGTGCGGAAGAGAGGACGCAGGAGGAGACGGCAGTGGGACGTGGAAAAGAGGAAAGACGAAGTGACATAGTGTGAATGCCGGGGACAGGAGGAGGACGTGCACGAGGAACACGGCGACTAGTGCAAACAGCGCGAACAGGCAAGGCAAGTTGAGACTCAGGCTCACGACGCTCTGCAAGGGAGTCTGTCTGTGTAGTGTAAGGAGAAGGACCAGGCAGTGGGGAGTCTGGCTGTAGCTGTGGCCGTGACTGTTCAGGTTATGGACACAGTAAGGGAGGAGTAAGGTTAGTTGAAGATGGGAGGCTAAGAACCTGGCGATACACCGAGTCAGGTGGTGGCAGTGACGACGGTGACGGTGGAACGAAGAACAGTCGCTGCTGTGCAGTACCACCAGCACCAGTACCACCAGCTCCAACACTACCACTACGAGTACCAGCAGCTCCAGCGCCTCCAGCAGCTCCAGAACCTCCAGCTCCAGCGCCTCCAGCTCCAGGGCCTCCAGCTCCAGCACTGCCAGCTCCAGGGTCACCAGCTCCAGCTCCTCCAGCTCCAGTGCCTCCAGCTCTAGTGCCTCCAGCTCCAGCGCCTCCAGCTCCAGGGTCTCCAGCTCCAGTGCCCGCATCACCTCCAGCTCCGGCAGCTCCAGTACCTCCAGTACGAGCACCTCCTGGACCAGCAGTGCCAGCACCACCAGCACCTCCAGCACCAGCAGCACCACCAGCACTGGCAACTCCAGTACCTCCATTACGATCGCCTCCAGGACCAGCAGCTCCAGCTCCTACAGTACCTCTAGCTCCAGCGTCTCCAGCAGCAGTGCCTCCAGCGGCAGGGTCTCCAGCTCCAGCAGTGCCACTCTGAAGGCGGGTGCGCTAAGCAAACCACTCGCTCAGCTGCTGTGGTGAGAGAGCACCTCCAGTACGAGCATCATTATAGTTTGACAAACAGGTGCCGGTGGGCGCGACCCTAGGCGACCACGCCCAGAAAGTACGGATAGTAACGAAACGAGAAACGAAGAGAAAACATTACGAAACGAGAAAACAGAATAGAAGAAACTCTCGTTCTCTCTCACCACCCCTTTAACCTCCCCCCCCTCCCCCCCCCCCCCCCCCACAACAAGTGCTGCAGGGAGAGAGGAAGAGGGAAGGGAGGGACGGACTGCAGGCAGCTCACACCCGACACCCCCACATCGCCCCCACACCCAGCCACCCCCCCCACGGCGGAAGCCGCGGAAGGGAGGGAGGGGGGGGGGGGGGGCAGAGTCAGCTGCTGCTGGCGCTCGCGTCGTCACTGGCGCCCGCGCAGGTGCTGGCGATGGGCGCTGGTGCTGGTGCACACGACTTTGCGCGGCTGCGCACGGTTGTACGCGGCTGCTGCTGTGTTCGTGACGGAACGGGGCGGGGCAGGCGATGTGCGTGATGAGTAGGGTGCAACGGGAGAGACGGGGAGGGCACCACGGACGGGACGGGCAGGGCGCAGGAAGCGCGGGCGCGCAGGGTGCTGACGAGGGGGCCGATACGAGGCCGCAACTGATGCCATAGCGCAACTCGCCATCACGAGCAGCTTTACGGACGGAAGCTACGCGGCGGGCAGCACCAAGCCGGGAGCGACGGGGAGCACCATGAACGAAAATAAAGTGCAGGCCTAAACGAACCAGGATCTGATACCATGTTAGGATCTTCTTAATCTTAGGAACCCTAGGCTAAAGTGGTGAGAGAAATTTGCGAGAGAAAAGGAGTTCTCAGTACAGTATTAGTACAAGATATAGCAAGCACAGGTGGCTAAGGGAGGTACATGACCAATAGAAACATTTCTACAGTGATACTACACAAACTATATTGCATGCAGTTACATAAAGAATAGCCGGCAGGTGAAATAGCCGGAGGCGAGGAGGGATGCGATGAGGAGGAAGTGAGGAAGAGGATTAACACGGAGAGAGAGAGAGAGAGAGAGAGAGAGAGAGAGAGAGAGAGAGAGAGAGAGAGAGAGAGAGAGAGAGAGAGGGAGAGAGAGAGAGAGAGAGAGAGAGAGAGAGAGAGAGGGAGAGAGAGAGAGGGAGAGAGAGAGAGAGAGAGAGAGAGAGAGAGAGAGAGAGAGAGAGAGAGAGAGAGAGAGAGAGAGAGAGAGAGAGAGAGAGAGAGAGAGAAAAGTGGGCGCACGAACACCCATAACGAACTACGTGATGAATGCGTCCGTATAGAAAAGGATGTGAGGTACACGACACACAAGGAGACAATTGCGTTCAGCCCGGTGGAGAACAAGCGAGCCGACATCGCCATTCGGGACCTGACCTCAGGCTCGGTGTGGCTGGGGGATATAACAATTAATGACCCGATCTGCAGGCCCTACGATATCTTGAAATTTTCCTTCAAATTTCTGATTTTCAGCCTAGTTTTGTGTACCTACACTGATTTTCCAGTGTTACTGATTTTTTAGCCTTGATTTTATAGTTGACATTGATTTTTCAATCTTATATTCAAGGGTACACTGAATCCTCATTCTGAATACATCCTAAAAAAACATCCGAGAGATTCAAACTTCCAACATTTCCACGTTGTCCACGACCATTACGTTAAAAACCGACATCTGAAGTCTTGAACTGTCTCAATGGTTAGCGAGATCGCTACCGAAGAGTGAGGACCTCGGTTCGAACCCACCGACTGTCTTATATTTTGTGAATAAGTATATTATATTTAAAGGTAGCATGTGTCTGATAATCAGTCCCTTTAACTATGATCCTTAGAAATTAAGGCTTTTTTTATGAACACTGTAATCAAGCATTTTTTCGTTGGCGCCCCTAAAATTGAATCTGAGGGCCTACCGATCAGCAAGAGGGACGAGCAAGCCTCGAAGGGAAAGGGATGGGCAGCAAGAGAAGTAGCTTATAGGAAGATTGAACTTTACCAAAATTCTCCTAAACCCGAAACCTCTCGTTGTTTTACCATGCGAGAAGTACAATCTTGATACAAGGTGTCTTTATATGAGGCCGTAGGAATACGCCCTCACGAAACATACTCGGCCGCAATGGGTATTGTACCGCTGGACCCGAGACCCTTATCAAAATATTAAGTATTGTCAGCTTTGCAAAAACACTACTATCCTTATATTCCAGTGCGCTTATGAAAAAACACTGCTGAAACTTGCATCCCGATTTTTCTCTGTTTAGCTTCAACCGATTTTTTAGAGTTGGCACCTGAGTACAACTCAGAAATCAGCAAAATAAGGACATTATGGCCTGACAAAAGAGGGCCTGGTCATCAGGTGTGGACTGACCTGGTGGTGTCAGCAGAAAATGTCGATGTGAAATCCACCTTGAAATTTGTATATAACCACCAAAGCAATGCTTTTTTGTACGCATCATAATTTTTGTACACCATGATTTTTTAGCACATGTCTAGTAAAGAAAACAACAAATGAGGTGGCTAATTGTACATTCATGCGTGGACATTTGTGTCTCAATCCCCCTTTTCCGAGTCGCGTCGAAACATTTGGGCAATCTCGCATTACAAAAGAAGAGTGTATCGCGACATTACGCGACCAGGCGAAATGTTAAGTTATGCGTTCTGTATTGGTTGTAACGAGTGACTGTACACCAATTTTCTCAACCGATTGGTTGCGGTGAGCTTTCGACGCGGGGCATTGTTTTCCACGCGAAAATGACAGTGTGGGCTGTCCAGGTGCATTGACATTGCGAACCGCGTGCGATTTTTTTAAGATGATGGGTCGATTTGCAATTCGTCAGCGACATCAGCGCATATCACGCTGACCAATGAAAAATACAGTACTGGTCGCTGAAAAGCGACTCGAAATTGGGACACACTATAGTTTATGATGTTTTGGGGTGTCACAAAGCGATTGGGACACAAATGTCCACACAGGAATGTAGCGGCCTTAAAAGTGAAATTTCTGTGCAAAGGTAGATATTGTTTCTTAAATGTTTGTGTGGTTCTATATTTAGGGAACGTGATGTGCCATTATATAAGTATATTTGGAAAATATTATGCAGCGGTTGTTCGCCAATCACCATTCGAATACCACGGAGATGCCACCCCTTGCCTTGTGCACCGCTGATCCGCCTATGCTGCTCTTCCCCACACAACACCGTCGCCTGGCGGTTGAGAGCCTCCAATCTCTTCGAGGCATGGCCCACAACGATGCCACCCTGGCCCGTTTGACATCCCTTCAGGGCCCGGGGGCTGGGGCGTGGGTTTCTGCCGTTCCTTCGCACGAGGAGGCTACCTTCACCGCAGCCGAGTGGAGCATCTGCGCGTCCATGCGCCTAGGCCTCCCTATTCAGCAGCTGATAGTGGCCGGCAAGTGCGCGTGTGGGTTTGAGTTTGCTGATCCCTCTGACCCGCATCATGCCCTTCGCTGCAAGTATCAGTATGCACCTTCTCGGGTTCACGATGCGGTTAAATTTGTGGTGGCGAAGATAGCTAAGGGTGCGGGTGGGATTGTGACCATGGAAGACGACACGTTGCTCCCAGGGAAGAGGGTTGATGTGGCGGTTCGGAAACTGAGGGAGGGGGAGGAGCACGCGCTGGAGGTTAGTGTGGTAGATCCTATCTCGCTATCCGCGCAGCACCATGGACAGATTGGTCGCAAGGTGGGTTTTGCCGCGAGAGAGAGAGAAAAGCGGAAGACGGCGGACTACAAATCGCTTCTACAGCGGCATGGGGGAGTGCAGTTCACACCACTCATTGCTGAGACATGGGGATGCTTGGGGGGGAGTTTTGGACGGTGGCTTAAGAAGCAGGGTGACGCGCAGATCGAGATAGCAAAGACGAAAGGGGCGGCGCGAGCTACGGGAAAGGGTTTCTCGGCTTATTTGCTCGGATCGCTCAAAGCGGCTGTGGGTGTGGCTTTGCAACGGGCTCAGGCGCGTGTGATCTTGTTACGCGCTGCGTCGATGATGAGAGGCCCAGAGGCTGTTTGGGTGGAGCGGGAGGATGTTGAGGAGGAGATGGGATGGGATGCTCCGTGGGCGGATGCACCATACTTGGTAGACATGCGGGTTTAGGGAGTGGGTTTAGGGGGGGAGGTTTGGTTCGATGGGAGTGCAGTTGGGGTGCTTTGATGGGAGGGCTTGATGGTGTTTTAAATGTGTGTGCTATTGGGGTTTTCTTGGGGTTGTGTGTGCTACTTTTTCTTCCTTCTTCCCTGTTTTTCTTCCTCCTATCATTTTTCCCCTATTCCCCTCCTTCTTTCTTCCTCTCTCCTTTTTTCTACTCACGTTATTCCTCCTTTTCTCCTCTCTTCCCGTTTCCACTCCTTTTCCTTGCGTAATTATGCTACATTGTAACAGATAGTAATTCGAATACCCTAGAAGATGCGGAGAGAGATCCGTCGTCAAACTGTAGACTGTTACTGTAGTATCAAAAGAGAACCTTGTGCCAGATTGCGGCGGAGCAACAAATTCGTGGATGTTGGATTTGGTGAAAGTCGGTGGATGGAGTCATACATCACTTCTCGCGTGCCTGAATATCCAACTCAGCATTGATCATTGGATCTGATGTTCGAAACACGTGAAGAAGGCCGTCCTGATGCATCTGTACAGCAGATACACTAATAGATATGCTTTGAAAAGACGTGACAATTTCACTGAAAGGATAAAAGAAGCCAGTGTGCATATTTGGAAGGCAAAAATCGTCCACAGCATATTCATACCAGAAGTTGTACCATCATGATTGGTTGTATAAAACTACTATATAAAATACAGGGAATCTACATTAGTATGATAAATCATGTCAAGTATTTTTTTTCTTTATATTTAGCTACTTTGTACGTATCAATAATTTGAATTGAGATTTGGCTTTGTTTGGCCTTGAATTAAATCATTGATGTTTTTGCGGTTTGTGTGAAGATACCAAGTAATTAATTCTTAAATTTAAGTTAAGCACTTTTATTTGACATATCATAATTCTAGAGCTATTACTATATGCTCTTTCCTTTGTGTGTTATATATAGAGTTGAAAACATGAGAATTTATACCATATCTGGAAATTGATAATATTCTTGTTTTTATTTAGACCTACTCAATGTATAAGCACATAGTCAAACGCTGTGTGCAATGAAGATGTTTAAGCCGTACTGTTAATATTGACAGTAAATCGTTTGCAGTGTAGTGTTGATGGAGCTGCCTCAGTCACAAAAAGAATGTTGAGATTTGTTTCACCAGCACACTTTCAGATTTTGAGTTTGAACAACATGTTACCCCAATATTTGTAAGTTTCAAAACGTTTTGAGTACGGAGTTTAGGTTTGTTGAGATTATGAGTTCTGCGCTGAAGCACAGAACCGGTGGAATCTGCCTTTGCGAGCCCTCCCTTCGGTGTGGGAATTAGGCAAGTCTGTCAAGGGAACATAATGGCGAGGAGTTTTTGGTTCTTTCAGATTCAGTCGACACGATCTCTAAAAAGAACGCGGTCTGCCTAGAATCTTATCTGTTCATCTCGATCTGTCAATTGCTTTTGTTCATTACCCTGACAGGATTAGCCGCCCCGCGTGCTTGGGCTCGGAATCAGATGCGGCGATGCTGCAAGAATTGTGTTGTTGCAGCCAAATCCGCAGTCCAAACTCGCCGCACCACACCACCACACCACAACCACAGCTTGTCATCACAAAGTGGTTGGCACTGACCTCAGGCCCATTGCTTCTTTCTCAACGAAGATTCGCCGCAAGCTGCCAACGACGAGACTGTTCAACATGGAGAAAGTTTTGAGGGATGTCCCTGATTGCACCATAAGGAAGCACTGTACTGAACTGCACTGTGCATTGCAGAATACAGCACCCCTCACCATCCAACCCCCACACTTCACAGCTCTTGTTCTCCATAATCAAGTTTTGGTTTGGGTTGTCTCTGTTTCAACAGTTCGCGGTCCAGATCCCGTCGGTAACAAATCCCATCACAATCTTTTGTTACGCATGCGCACCATTTCGGTGCACCCATCCAACCTCTGATATGGTTCTCGAGAACTTTGGATCGGAGCCAGCCTGGTGATGATTCGATTGTGTCTGCGTCATACTGGTCTGGGTGGGCTGGGCTCTCTGACCTCCAGCGGCCAGAATCCCTCCCACTGTCATCCCCTAGCACTAACCATCACACACTTCACCATAGATCAACGGAGCAGTATTTTTAGCTGCCACGCCCATTTTTCGTATCATCAAGTTTTGCTTTCCTCCAAGTAAGCTCGCCTGCCTACCACTCTAATCGAAGACCAAAATGTTTCCTGCTAGCCAGCTCCGCTTCTCCCCGACGGCTTTCTCGGCCGATTCTCAGAATCAGCTTTCCGAGTGTTTTGCAGTGCAAAGAGCCATGCTTGCTCTTCTTCAGCCGCAACTCCCGTTCCATCAGAGTACTCAAGCGATCCTACAGCATCCGACGACCATGAAAGGAAGGACCGGCATCAAACGTGCCATCATAGACTGCATAAGCACTGACAGCAGCACCATCTCCGGCAATGGTGGGGCTCTTTATAACTCTCGCTCGGCTAAGCGCCCTTGCGACAATTCGAGACAAGCATCGTCGCCTCGCGAGACGCCCGCCGCCGAGCAGCCTGTGCCTGCGTCGAGTTCCGCCGCGTCGTCCCACTCTCAACCGCTTGAGAGCCCGTCATGCAATCGCAAATCCGTTGCTGAGAGCGCATGTGACCGCGTGGAAGCATCCGAACCCTTTGTCTTGCCCAAAGCCTGCTGCTCGTGGAATTGCTCGTACTTCTCCGTCCCTTGCCGCCGACGCTCGCGATTTTCTGCGAGCGGCTCGAGAGTCGCTGCCGCTCCTGTCGAATCCCTTCGAGCTTCACCATCCAACCAGCATGGCGACTCGTCCTGCTCTGCCCAAAAGGATCGCGTTTCCCTGGATAAATCGTCTTCAAGCCATGACAACCTTTCCCAAAGCCTTGGTGGTTCAAATACGGAAGGGCGGGGCCTCAAGGTGGAAAGCAGAGATAAGGACGTTTCTAGCCTGGACCTCACCCTCCACTTGTAGTGGTTCAGTATGGTAGTATATACCATGTAATTGCTGTGCTATACGTTCTGTGAAGGTGTAACTCCTGGCTGTGAATAAGCTTAACATGTTATCAACCCTAAAGTCAACATTAATTGAGCAGGCTAATCGTCTTTGCGGTTGGTTGGCACCTGATGCCTTGGCGTTGGATAAAATTATGGAAGGTGGAGCAGGGGCAAGGTGAGGAGTAAGCTGACTCGCTGAACATCAGATATACACAGCGCTTTTAACCAAAAAAGAAGTTGAACATCTCGTTCGTCTTGTCATCTGCATCAATCTTCTCTGTATCAACTTCCCCAGTTCTCTGCTCCTCAACCCTCACAGAGCCATTCCCAACAGCACCTCTGTTCCCTGCTTCCTCACTCTCCACTTCGACACTCTTCATACCCATCACTTCCTCCTTCCCTATCTTCTCTAAACTTCCCTCCTTCCCCACCTCCCTGCTGCCCTGGTCTGTGTCTCCTGGCACTCCAACCAACTCCGCATCACCATGCTTCTCCTCCCCCCGCAATCGCTTGCTCGCATGCTGCACTTGCTCCTTCAACTCACTTGCACATGCCTCGCCCGCGCCTCTTGTGCCTGGATCGACTGTTCTGGGTTGACTCAAGCTTTTGGCTGGTGTCACACGTACAAGAGACTGCGATCCACTCACCCCAGTTACATCATCCTCTGTGCTGATGATTCTCTTCTCACACACACTCATCTCGCCCTCCCACTGCTGTGTTGCTGCATCCACCCCCTCCAACCTTGCCTCCTGCACCCCGCCTGCCTCGAACCCACCCTCCTCATCATCCGTGGTTTCTTCGTCCTCATCTTCCTCCTCTTCACCTCCATCACTATCATCAGCATCAGCATCAGCACCGGTATCACCAGCGCCATCTGAGTCCGTGCTGCTCCCATCCTCGTCCTTCCCAGTCTCCCCCCCATCGCTGTCAGAACATTCCTGGATAGCAGGACAGCTGCAGAAAATTGGTGGAGTAGAAGAGGATAAAAAAACAATGTCATTGAGGGAGGCTGGGATGGGGAAGAGGGAAAGTACGATTGTACATGTGAGAGAGAGAGAGAGAGAAACGGAGGCGCAGGAGGGGGAGGGGGGATAATGGGGGGTTTGAAAGGAAGCAGGGTTACGGGAAAAACGGAGAAAGAGAGCAACAGAAAGCCGCATCGCCAGTAGGGGGTCATCAGCGCTCACCTGGGCCCTCCAAAGCCCTCCCAAGGCCCCTCCCCCACTTGCCCCTGTAGCCGCTTCTCCACGCACGCAACAGTGACGACCCGTGGCACATGTGCTGGATGCTGCTGGGTAGACGCACGTGCCTGGGGCAATGCTGCTGCTGCTGCTGTCTCTCCTTGTGTTGCTGCTGGCGGTGGTACAGTGGTGGAATGCGCATGCACTGACAGGGCGCGCGAGAGAAGAGCAAGCTGTGATGGTGTGAGGCTGGGAGCACAGAGAAAAGGGAGAAGAGGGAGAGGGGGCGCATAGGTAAGAGGAAAGAGGGGAATGGCTACCAGGGGTGATGGGTGTGTGCTTGCTCAAGGTCAGGTAGGGCACACAGGCGGTGGTGCGACTGAGACAGCAGTGCTTACCATTCTTCATACAGCTTCACAGTGGCCTCCACATCCTCATGCCGAATAGAAGCAAGGCAGCAGGGCAGCAGCACGTGCGTGACATGCGTTGAGAGCCGTGCTTCCACAGTGCCTCCCCCCATGGCCACCTCCAGCGCTGCCCTGCGCCCTGCCATCACCTCGCTCACATGCTGCCACCCCGCCCTGCCCACACGCACACGGCGATAAGGGAGGGGCGAGATGCCAAGAGTGGATGGACCGAGGGACAGAGGGGATGTGAGGACAGAGGAAGGACGGATGGCAGGGGCGAATGTCATGGAGATATTTGATTAACAATGCAAGCGTTTGATGAGCATTTGAGACGCATATGAGGAGCACATGGTGCCCACGCAGTGGGAACGAGTGCGAGGTAATGAAGTGGGAGGAGGGGTTGGGGGGGAAGGATTGAGAGCAATTTCAGGCGGTGGTATTGCGAGCAGTGGCCGTGTTACCACGAGTGCTGTTGGTGCAGGGTGGGAAGGCATGGCAGCACGAAGAGCACGACCCCTTGGAAGATGCAGGTGTGCACGGCACCCGACTCCACACACAGCTTGCGCCGCTGCACCTCCAGGTCACCACTCGGCACTGCTTTGACTTGTGATTCGGCCACTTTCGCAAAGAGCTGCGCGGGGGCACAGAGACACGAGTTGTGGTGGTGGGGTGAGGATGCATGTGCGCGCAGACAGAATGGCAACGCCCCATTCTAGGCAACCTCGAAAGCAGAGAAAAGCTAGTTGTGATGGCAGGGAGCTGTTACATGTCAAGGCAGGCAGCGAAGCAGCACACAGCTGAACAGCTTATACAGCAAGCGCTGTGCAAGCAAGAAGGTCTACAAGCTAGCCGCACATGCTCTGCGACTGCAAGGCGGCTAGGCACGGCAATGACACCTGTTTGAGCTCCAACACGTCTGCAATGTCATCTGTGTACGAGTCCCCAAACTTGTCCACCTGCTGCTGCTGCCGCTGAGCTGTGAGCAGCGACCGGTGCAGATAGTGCCTGGCGGGGGCGAGGGGAGGCGTGGGAGGAACGAGCAGGTGCAGGTGAGCGGCAGGAGAGAAGGAATCAGTAGCAACGGTATGTGGCTGGATCGAGACGAGGGATACGAGGGCGGGAGGGGGACAATGGGTGGGGGAAGGTGCAGCAGGGAGGGGGAAGGTGCTCACTTGGGCTTGGGAGGAACGAGCTTGCGGGCTTGCAGGCACTCCTGCAGCCACTCGTATGTGTACACATCTCCTGCTTTCACAGCTGCCTTGAGACGAAACCCTGGAGGGACATGCATGCAGGCAAAGCCAGGATAAGAGTAGATCAGGGTACAGAAGCAAGTGACTGCACGTGCTGGCTTGCTTGCCTATTCCGCAGTGTGTGTGCAGTCATTTGCTGCTGCACACACACTGCACAGTAGGCACGCAAGCCTGCACCCATGCACGTAGCATCTGTGGGCTGCAAGGCGCTGTGATTGCCTTCCTTTCCAGGGGCCCACATGCTGTATGCGCGCTCACACATATCAACCACCCTCACATGCGCAGTATGCCTCTAACCCCTCCCGCCAGCCAGCTGTGCGCCACCTCACTCACCCTCTCTCACATCGCGCCTCACTCACCCCCCGATGCGGAGTGTGCGACTGCGTGAGTCACAGCAGGGCTGAGATTGGCGGACACCACTCCCCCGTGCCTCACCACCTGCTGCTGCACTGCCCTCTGCTGCACGCCCGGGGGAACAGACACCATGTCTGCCCCACATGGTTTGCATAAGAGGTCGTTGGAAGCACAAGCGAGGGGGACAACGCGGGACAGTGACTTGGCAGGTATGTATGAGAGGACGTGTGGGGCATGGGGGGACGGGACGGGACCTGCGTGCGAGACTGGAGACGATAGTAGAGGCAGTAGGGAAGGGAAGACGAGGTGGCGAGCAGTGACTGAAGCAGGAGCAATAGGGGACTGACTGAGGACACTGCGCACGTGAAGGCACAGAGAGGCACAGCAGGGAAGGCAGGCGGCCTCACAGAACGTGCAGCTGGAGAAGAAGAGCTCAGCTGGGCCTCTCTCACCCACGCCCTGCCCTGCAGCCCCTCCCCCGGGCTTCATAAATGCCGGTACCTCCACCGCCCTCTTCCTCCGCACCCCCTTGCCCTTGCCCTTTCCTCGCCCACGCCCCTTCCCCCCCGTGCCGCGGGCCGCCTCTCGGTCCTTCATGGCACGGGTGCGCTGCTCCTCCCTCTCCTGCACGATGCGCTGCCACTCTGGTGGGTGGGGACAGCACACACGCGCACAGGGAAGGAGGCTAGCAGGGAAATGGTGGTGTGTTGCATGCGGAAAGGGGCTGCAATAGGCAGATGTAAACCGCTCCGTGCGAGATGTTAGGTAGAATTATCAGAAGCAGCTGCGGCGTGCGTGCATGATCTGTTATTGTGCCCACCTACTCAACTGCTAACTCAACACTCATCCTCTCACTCGGCCCGTTTCCACCCTTGTCTTGATTCTCCCCCTTACCCTCCCCTTCTCCCCGGTCCCTACAGACCTGGCAGGTCGAGCGAGTCCCACCAGGGCTTGTCGTGGCGAATGCGAGTGACTCGCGGGAAGCGCAGCGAGCGAGGCGCTTGAAACACCTGCGAGGGGGAGAAGGGGGAAGGGTGGTTCAAGGAAGGGAATGCGGGGAAGAAGATATGAGGGGGATCCCGACCGAGGCAGAACAGAAGAAAGTAGGAGAGAGAGCATGATGGAAACGGGAAGATATGCATTCTATGACAGGCTTAAAGGGTCTAATTGCAACGAGACTGATGATGTAAGTTTGAAAAAAAAGGGACAGGAAGAGAGAGCGGTGCAGGTGAGGAGCACGTGGCAGGTGGTATGGCATGTGTGCTGCCTCACCTCTGTCTGTATGACTCGGATGTCGCCCCGTATCTGCAGCACCACCGACCTGAGTCAAACACGCATGCAGGGAGGACAGCACGCAGAGACAGGAGCGAGACAGAGAGAGGGATGCACAGTCTTTCAGTCTTGTCCATGACATGATGCGCTGCAATGCATCCCACATGTCACGACCTCTCACATCGCACCCACATCTCTTTCAGTCTTGTCCTGGTGGCTCGTAGAGCACCGTTCATAACCGTGCCAAACCGCACTACATCCCGCACCTGGTGGGGTCAGAGACCCAGACGTCTGGGCGCTCCTTGGCGTGGTTGGTCACTGCGTACAGACTCGGCGGGGGCTGGCCTCTCTCGTTACGCCTGGCTTGCAGGAAGAGAGGAGACAGAGAGGAGAGAGGAACGGCAATCAGGGTTTGCATGGTGGTGGGGGAAGTGAATGGTAAGAAGAACGGACTGAGACACGAATGGGCGCGAACATGCGGATTGAGCAGAACGTGAGTGTGTGCATTTGTGTGTGACGTAGTGCAAAGAGGATGTGAGAGGAGTGCAGCGGAGTGGAAGCAGAGAGGCGAGGCACTCACTGCAGCACGGGCAACAGGCGCTCCCTGAGGTCCCCCAGGTCGTCGTCTGACATGCCTCCCCCCACCCGACAGAAGGACAGTAGGCTGGGGCAAGCGGGCATGGAAGCAGATAAGGCGAGCAGTGAGAGGCAAGTGTAGAGCAACACATGAAGACATTTCTGGAAAGAAGTGAAAGGGGGAGCCGTGAAGAGAAGGTGTGGTGTGTGTGTGTGTGGCATGGGTCAGCGAGTACGTACCGTGGAGGAGGCTGGTCCGGGTCGGGGGGTTGCTCCCACAGGCCGAGCAGGAACTGAGACAACTGTAGGGGGCGTGGAGCGCGAGCGGTGATGGTGGGAGGCGTGATGCATGACAGGAGACGACAGAGCGATGCAGCACGGGAGGGAAGAGTCACGTATCATGAAAAAAGAGGAGCTAGAACTTCTAGCCTAGAAGCAGCGGGCACACGACGGTGGCTGTTGCTGCACGGCAGCGCAGGGCAGGGCGGCAGGGCAAAGCATGGTAAGGTGTTGCAAAGCAGTAAAGCTCACCTCTCCTCCGCGACGGTTGGATCCAAAGTAGGCGCCTAGGTGGGCCAGCAGGAGAGGGGGAGAGCGACACGCACAACACCAGAAAAAGAGGGCGGAAGAGGGAATTGGGTGGAGTGAGTGAGTGAGTGGAATGTGGTCACGAGGGTGGGAGGCAAGAGGCATGTGAACGGGAGGATGTGGAGGGCGAATGGCAGGAGTCACATGGAAGCACCATGGCACACCATCGCACACCATATCTGTGATGCAAATAGCATAGCGGCCTGGGCAGTGAAGCTGGCCATGGGCATGGGCATGCATGCGTGCATGTGCAGGGCAGCACCCATGACAAGGGCGTCAATGTCAGCGCCGGTGTCCATGTAGTCGGGCTTGAGCTTGAGCCACTTGGACGACCGGTCGCCCGCCTCCCACGGCGACTGCAGGTCCTTCACCACCACGCCCTCGTCCCTGCCCGGCTTATAAGGCACTCGTGCACGGGGTGTTGCCGCACCGAGAGGGGAGGGGAGGGGAGAGGAGAATGGGAATGAGGGTTTGTGGAGAAGGAACGGAGGGAGAGGAGAAGATGGGGTGAGAAGCAGCATGAATGGAAGGGGCAAGATATAACTGGTGTGTGCCGCAGTGGCATGCAATGATGTGAGTGGTGATATAGGTAGTGACATGCGAAGTAGAAGGGGAGCAGTGGGGAAGGGTTGAAACGAGGCATGCCTGTTGTCGACTGTCTGCACGAAAAATGCTTGGATGTCTGCTGCACTGTGTGCATACTGCGACCAGTTGGGCTCGCCTGCGCGTCACAATTCAGGCAGGTGAGAGGAGGGTGTGAAAGCAGTGAAGGACGGATACGAGTTAGCAAGGAGATGCAGATGGGAGAGAGAGGAAAAAAGGAAGGGCGAGGAACAGGAGAAAGTGAGGAAGGCATGGAGGAACAGGAATAGGTTGGGAGAGAAAAGGGATTGGAGAGGGGGCGAGAAGGGCGAATGGAGGAGCAGGAGGCACCAGGAGCGCGCGGAGAAACATTCGAGGAGCGGGGGTCTGGCGGCAGCAGCAGCTCGAGGCGGTGTGGCACGGGGTGCACGACCTCCTTGAGCAACTGGTGGCGGTGCTTGAGCGGGTGGTGGATCACACTGCCGTCCCCGTGGTACAGAATGTCAAACGCCACATCTGCCCCGCATGGCATGGGGAAGCAAGGAGGGGGAATGGAAGGTGTGATGTAAGATGCTGCGCTGGGAGGGCTTGTGGACAAGCATGAAGAGCGATGGCAACACGTGCTGATTGAAGCAACACGTGCATGCAACAAGGTGCATTGCATGCGACGTGCACTGGCACTCACAGCAAAGCTGAGGCGCGAGGGAGTGGCAGAGAGGCAGATGTTGATAATGGAGCATGAAACGCACAAGCACAGGGAGAGTGAGAGCCGGTGCACAGAGGGAGAAAAGACAGGGGCTATGAGAGTGCACTTGAATTACAGACAAGAGCAGCGTGTGAGGTAGCACAAGGAAGGCAGCACAAGGGACGACGTGCGGAGCAGTGAGTGCGCATTGGGAGCCAAGAGAACATGTGGGAACACAGAGACACATGGGATACACAAGCAACTCTAGCCATGCAGGCCTTGCATGGGGCATGCGGCATGTGAAGGTGGCATGAGGCATGCAGCACGGCACCTGGATGTCACTGTTGCTGCCGTCCCGTGCCTCCTTTGCTGCACACACACACGGTCCGCCAGCAGTGATGGTGGACAATAAGCAAGGAGTATGAACGGGGAGAGCTAGCAGACAAAGGGCAGAGAGCGGATGGGGTGGGAGTAAGCGAAACAGCATGGCGATGGGTAGTGCAAAATGAGGTGATCAGTGGCATGGAACGTGCATGGACGGAGGCCATGGGTGGGCAGGAAGGAAGGGTGCACCTGCTGTTTGATTGGATCCGAACTCCACAAATTTGTTGTTCACTCGATCCCATGCCAGCATCTCCCCATCCAGTATACACCTGTTGCGCCATGCCATGCCATGCCACGCCATAGCACAGAGACCACACGACAGAGCTCTAGTGAGAATGATACACGGCGACAGTGGTAGGCGCAGTTTTTAATAACGCAGTGAATTCAGGTAAGAGGGGACGATGGGAGGATGGGAGGGTGGGAAGGATAGCGGGGCTGACTTGTGGGTGAGAATGTTGTCCTCGACCAGTTCCTTCATGCCATGGAGAAACTCCGGATGCTCCTTGAAGTTCCTGCCACCATGCCATGCAAGCCATGTCATGCCACGCCATGTCCACATCACGCAACGCCATGCCATCCCATGCCCAGCACAGCGGTACAATATTGGAGGCGCAACAGAAACAGCAGAATATGTGGCGTTCACGCATGCACCCCATGCGCTCTGTCAGACAAAGGTGCTCCCCACACGACATGCATGGAATGCATCCACATGCACCACAATCCATGTGTACTGCACATACGAGCTCACATGGACAAACAAATGTACGAGCATGTCCGCATTTAGTGCAGCACGCACGGACCTGGAAAAGAAGTGAATGGCATGGCCATGCTTATGGATCTGCACGCGGTCGCCATCAAACTTGCACTCCACCACCGCCTCCTTGCCCTTCATCTGCTCGCACCCATGCACGCATGCATGCACCCATGTTTCATGCATGCATGCGTCCATCGGTCCCCGTGTTTGTGCACACATGCATGCATCATCAATGAAGCCAGTCCATAACCCCGGTGCTTGCCTCCTCTCGAACCATGACGTCTCATAACACGCCATGGCATGCCATGCCATGTAGGGGCATGAAAGTGCGAGCAGTGCAGCAGGGCACAAGAGGTACAAGGGCAGGAGACCAATGCGGAAAAGCAACAGAGGTGAGGGCCCTGGGTGAATCAAGTCAGGCATAGTTGTGCGATGGTGCCATGAACAACGCAGGGGATGGCAGAGAGCAAGAGGCAGGGTGCGCGGAGGGGGGTGGGAGGGCGCACCAGACTCCAGGCAGCTTCGGCTGTGTCCACTCGCCTGGCGAGCTGAGGCCGCACCGCACTCCCTGGCTCTATGTCCTGATCGGCTCGTGCCATGCAATCACACGCCATGTCATCACCACTCCATGCAATGCCATGACACAGCACAGATGACAGCACATGTGCACAGCCGAGTCAGGAAAGCACACAGCATCATGAATGCAAAGGTTGACCGCCCATCCTCCCCACACACCGACACCCCTTCCCAACCACCACCCTCATCCTAACCCAATCTACCTGCCTTCCCTCCACATCCCACCCACAACCTTGTCTGCTCACACCCAACCCACCCCCACTTCCTCTCTCCCCCCCTTGCTCCCCACCCGTCCCCCACCTGGCGCTTGGCGCGGAGGGCGCGGGAGGGGAGGGAGTGGCAGAGGCGGCGCAGGTCGCAGGTGTGGTTGAAGACGTCCTCGGCGTCGGGGTGGAACGCGCGCAGCACAGACCGCTCACTCATGCCGAAGTGCAGCCCTGCGCGGATGATGGTGGCGCGTGGAGCGCGCATGGGAGGGGAGGGGGAGGGGGAGGTGGGGAGGGAGAGGAGTGGGAGAGGGATGTGGAATGGGAGGGGGTGGGTGAAACGCTGGTTGATGCACAGGTGGTGGTGGGAGGACGAGAGCACGTGAGTGAGGGAGGTTCATCCCCAGGGATGGCAAGTGGGAAGAACGGTGTGAGTGGAAAGTGCACGCATGGGAGAACACAGCAGGATGCACGTGCGCGATGGGTGAGCGCGGGTGTATGTGTGAGCGCGCATGGGAGCGCAGCGCAGCGCAGGCGCACCTTGCAGGATGATGAGGAGGATCCACTTGAGCTGCGTGGGGTTGGTGGCGTGTATCATGCGGTCCACCACTGCCACCTTCGCCTCCCTGCTCCTCCCCTCGCCCCGCACCCACATGCCCTCCCCCCCCCACCCATGCACGCACGCACACACCCCCCCTTCCTCCCCACGCACGCGCGCGCGCACGCGCACACTCCCCTCCCCAAAACACACACTTTTAGAGTGACACAGTTGCAGGTGGCGACGAGGGGAGCGAGGAAGCAAGGGCAACAAAGGAGGGGGGAGTGAGAGAGAAACTAGCACCAAGAGCGCCACTTTGGACAGTGGCTGAGGGGAAGAATAGGGAAGCACGAAAAAGGAAGGAGGGGGCAAGTTGGGGAAGAGAGGGGGACGGATTGCGCAAAGGAAGAGGGGGGCGAGGACGGGGGCGTGCAGGGTCAGTGGGCAGGGTGTGTGACCTGGGGCCGGCGGCAACAAGGTCGTCCAGCAGCGCGTTCACGCCCGCTATCGTCAGCTCGCCCGCTGATTCCACCTGCCGCTCCCGCACCACCTGCACTCGCGCGCAACACACGCGCGCGAGGAGGCCGGTGGAGGGGAGGAGGGGGGGAAGGCGGGCTGGAGTGCGGCGGAGGCAGGAGATGGATAGATGGATGGATGAGGCGAGCCCAGCGGTAAGACCCCTGAGCGTGTGCATGGCATGGAGCCGCAGTGCTGTCCCATCTCCTCTCCTCGCTGAAACAACGGAGTATGCACCGTGATCACTGCCCGCAGCTTTTGCATCCCACACTCACTCTCCCCCCACTCGCGCCTCTCTGTTCCGCGCGCTCACCCCCATCGCAACTTCCACGAAGTTGCCTGCGTTCTCGCCCACGTGCACCCGCCCGCCCTTCTGCCAGTCCTCCAACTTCCGCGCCTCCTCCGAGTCGCGCGCCAGCCCAATGGCATCCGCCACGCAGCGACCCAGCGCCGCCTCGCGCACGCCGTACGAGCCACGCTCGCGGTCCAGGCTCGGCGTCATCAGCCGCAGCGCTGCGAACAGGCTGTCCCCCACTCCCCCGCCCTCCCCGCCCGCCGTTTCCCCAGCTCCGGCCCTTTCCCCCGCGCCGTTACCGCGAACGCTAGCAGAACCGTTAAGATCTCCCGCGGAGCCCGAGGCGAGGCGCTCCGCGTGCTTACGGGCTGCATGCGCGTAGCATACGTCGAAAAAGTTCTGCACGTGCTGCGCCTTACGACTGGCGCCGCCTTTACCGCGTTTAACACGCGAGATAGCTTCGAACATTTGAGATAACATCTCGAAGGGACACTCGTACTCCGCCATGGCATGCGCGCAGCATGGAACAAGAAAGGACTAGAGTTAATCGAGAGCGTGCGTCGGGGTGACGCCTTCTCTGAAGCAAAGCAAACTGGAACAGGTGTTCCAGCTGTGAAATTGGTTCAAGTCCTGCTTCGCTTTTGGGAAACTCCAGAAATCCAGGTTGCATTTCATAAAACAGGTATACAGTTCTTTTCTGTAACAGTGTTCTGTGATTAAATTCTTGATTTCATTGAACCACTATATACATGAACAATGTGCGTCACTAGCTTTTCATGGGTCACCAAGTGTGCGACATCACTATGCAGATGCATAGCCAACGACGTCGATACGAGGAGCTAACCCAGCACGCTGGATGAAGCCAAATGTAGCAATTCCACCAGACGACAGGTTTGCAGCCCAGTCAGGCAAGCGGCAGTTGCTATCAAGGTTCCAGGAAGTGACAGGCTCGTAGCTGGAGCAGCGCAGGGCGATGTTATGCACGGTCCTGGACTGTGCGTTGCGAATGGTGCACTGCCAGAGCTCCTTGGGAACACCGTTGTCCTTCCATGCGTTCTCCACGACACACGTGGCAATTATAGCTGTGGGATGGTGGGATAGGTTTTTATCATGACAAACACGTCTTAAATGTTTGCGAAACGTGAGGACAGTGCTTGTATCAAGAAAGACACAATGGTGTATTACATTGTGTTTGAGGTACAACACATCACCTGCTGAGGGTGGGCTGGGCGTGACCGGCGGTGATGGTGATGGTGGTGAGGGGGTGGTTGAAGGGGGAGGGGGGGAGGAGGAACGAGGGGGAGGGGGAGAGGAGGAACGAGGAGGAGGGGGGGAGGAGGAACGAGGAGGAGGTGGGGAGGAGGAACGAGGAGGAGGGGAGGAGGAAAGAGGGGGAGGGGGAGAGGAGGAACCAGGAGGAGGAGGGGAGGAAGGAGGCTGCCCTGAGGAGGAGCCGCCTCCAACGATGCGAGCGAGAGCGCCAACCATGCCAGGGTTGATGTATGTGGCAGGCTCTGCCGTGCTGTAGTCCGTGCGGTCATCCGCATATGTGTCACTCTGCCAGTAGGTCACACGCACACACCAACCACACCACCACACAGCACACTCGTCAGATCCCGTTGAAAGTGAGCAAGACACCTTCATGAGCCAAACCTGTTGCACTGCACTCACCCCGTCTCTGGGCCCGCCGACAATGGCACCGACGTGCACGTTGGGGTTGGGGGAGGGCGAAGTGAGGTAGCGGAAGCCCTCGGAGCAGCCGATCTGCTGCGGGGCTGTGAAGATGGAGGGGATGGAGGCGCCGCGGTGGTGGATGCGCTGGGGGAAGGACGAGGAGAAGCCCACCATGTACGACACGCCCTGGGGGTTGCGCCCCAGGATGTAGTCCACCTGGGGGGGGTTATGCATCACACATGGAATGGATGGTGGGTGTGGGATGGGAGGAGTTCACGCTTATGAACCTGTTCTCATGAATATGGAATGAAGGGTGAAGCATGAGGTGCGTGCAGACGAATCAAGACCCTATGGAGTTGTCCTCGCCATTTCAACTCGACATACGCCTTGACCCCATGCGCCCACGCACCCAAGCAGCACCCACCTGGCGCCGGGCCTCGGCGAGGAGCTGCTGCGGGGTGAAGGTGGTGGAGGCGCACTGCAGGTTCTGCCCCGCGCGCTGCAGTGTGTCCGCCAGCACAGTGGTGAGGAACGCCATGTTGGTCACGTACTGGTTGTTCACCCCCCGCCCCGGGATGTACAGATGCCCCCCTGCCGTGGGCAGGTACCGAGTGGAGGGGAAGAACGCAAAGAGACGTGATGGTAAAGAGAGGGGCAGAGTGCTGCAAGAAACGGAGGGGTGGAGGGGAACAAGGGGAAGCAGCGATGTAGGTGTGGTTTCCAGGAGCGTGATCTGGATTGGTGTTTTTACCTGGGGTGCGCGGGGTGCGGGAGAGCGGGTTGTTGGGCATGTTGCTGCAGACGTAGAACTCAGCATTGCGTCGGTAGCGGTTGAACAGGTCCGACGAGCTCGAGGGGATGCGCCCACTCAGCAGCAGCTGCGGCAACAATAGACAGAGAGGAGAGGGTGCATTGAGGGAGGATCTCTGTCAGCTCAAGGATAACCGCATTGAGAAACCAGGGCAGGAGCCGGAAATGTATGATGCTGCGGCAAATGAGGTTGAGAGCGAGGTGGGCGTGAGCGCAGGGGTGGCTGACCTCGGTGAGTAGCAGCTGCGCGCCTGCATACTTGTTGTCCCAGCTGAACTCGCTCAGCTGCTGCGTGCTGCCGCCCAGCTGAGCATCATTGCGCTGTATGTACTGCAGGTATGCCTCATCACCCGTTGCACGGTACAGCCACGCTGCCGCCCACAGCAGCTCGTCCTGCCGGGCAGCGAGGGAACACAGGAGCCGAGAGATATGTGGAATTCGCACTGGTGCGTTTAGATGGGCTGTTGGGAACTGAAGCGACTGACCAATACATGATGCATTCAATATGAAGAGATGAGAAGCGGTGAGGTTGCTGTGGCCTTACTTGGTATCCGCTGAAGGAGCGGTAGAAGTTCTGCGCGCTCGGGATGGCATCACTGTACACGCCACGGTACTCGTCCGCAAACACGAATAGCTGAACCATGGTAGCACCGCAGGCATGACAGAAACACAGAGAACTTTGAAAGGTTAGTACATGCTCCCATTCCAACTCGTCCCATGCTGCCAACTGGCCAGATAGCAAGCGCTGCAACCTCAACAGTCACTGCAGACCAGGTGCATAGGTGCAATGGTATGGGTGTGCGCCTTACCTGGCGAGCGTGTGACAGGAGTGTATTGGCATACGAGTTGTTGCGGCCCCTGAAGGCGATGGACGCGGCAGCGAGCGCGGCAGCAGTCTCCCCGGCGAGGTCAGAGCCGGGGTGCTGAGCATCGATCTTGTACGCTGTGCGGTCCGTGGTCATGTCCTCAGGCCGCTGCCAGCACGCATGGTCCGAGTTGGGGTCGCCCACCTGCCATGGGCCGCATGGACCACGCACACACGGGCGACGCTTCAGGCTCACAACCGTCTCGTGCGCTTCACGTGGAACACCACGGAATGAGCAGTGCCAGGGAAGTAGTGCCTAGTACTAGCAGCGCACACCGATACCCCACTGCATACCCACTCACAACCGTTACAGGAAAGCGCTCAGATGAGAACACCACCCCCTTCCCGCCCCCACGAGCGCGCACCTGCCCCCAGAGCTCCGTGGGCCCGGTGTTGGCCTTGAGGAAGTAGTCCGTGCCCCACCGGATGGCGTCCAGTGCGTACCGCAGCTGCCCCGCCGCCTGCAGCTGTGCACCGTACTCCACCACGGCCCATGACAGCATGGTCACCGTGAACGCCATGGGGAACCCGAACTTCACGTTGTCGCCCGCGTCGTAGTACCCGCCCACCAGGTCCACCTGCGCGCCGCGTCAGGGGGGACGCGGGAGAGGCGCTCAGCGCATGGCGCATTATTGATTCCACGCTATAATTTCAAACAACGTGGTTTGAATCACCAGACATGGCGTGTGGACAGTGGAGCAATGGATGGTGTGCAAGGCAGGGGAGCGGAAGGAGCGAGAGCTCACATTGTTGCGCGCCCCGTCCTGCAGGCCTGAACTGCCGCGCCACGGCACGCGGTTGGTGCGCGGATCTAGTCGCCCCGAGCGCTGCCCCTCGAAGAAGAGAATGCTCTTCGCCAGCGCGTCGCGGTAGTCCAGCGCAGGCTGCGCTGCTGCTCGCTGCATGGCCGCTGACGCGACGAGCAGGAGCAGAGACAGAGGGACGACCAGCTCCCTCATTGGCAGACGGTTTGCCATAGTGACGGGTGAGAGTCAGGTAGCAGGAAATAGTGGATGGAAGATGTCAGAGAGCTGAAGCTTGTCCAGAGAGCAGTGCTTATCTTAGCGTGCCACGGTGAATGTAGATTCGCGCATTTATACTTGCAAGTGGGCGCTGCTGCAAGTCGATTGCAGTGCTAGTTGCGCCCGGCCCGCCCGACAGCCAGACAGCCCGTCGGACAGCGAGTGTCACATCAGTTCGGACTGCAATCAAACGCATCCGCATCGAAGCGCGATGTGCGATGGGGTGACGCACGACTAGCCACATTGGGGATTGTGACCGGTTGATGGAACACCACGACGCGCATGAATCTCGTTGAGGTGTACGACTTACCTGAGTATGACAAACTTTACATAAAGAAATAGGGAAAATGACTGGAAGTGATCTGCACAAATTGCAAGTAACATAAGCCTGGAGTAGATTTTACTAATTGCAATAGATACATAAATAACACTACTGAAATTAAACGCTTACATACTTTCAAGCAATTCTACCCACTGAAGTCCAACACTCTAAACAGGCCTTACGCTGCAGTTGGTGGTCTTCTGACTCCCATGCCTGCCTGCTGCCCATTCATACATCTTATTGCAGCCACCACCCCCAGCCCTAAAACAAATCAAACGCCTACAGAAAAAAGCATGGCTTTAGCTGATAGACTACAAAACCCACTCTACCTGGTCTTGGGTCACTAGGCGGTCTAAAGTCGGTTGCAGATTAGCACAATACTCTCTACCTGGCGGACACCACAGCAGCACCCGGAACAAAGGTGGGAATGCTGACCACACTGAGGTCTGCCCTGCCTGGGGAGCCATCCGCTGCATACTGCTCCTCCAGAGTCATGCCCGGCGCCGACAGCCCATTCAGCACCTCACCCAGCTTCGCTGCTGTCGCTGCTGCCTCGCCTGCACTAGGCTGCTTGCCGCCATACTCAACCAGCACCACCTTGCCTCCCTTGCCACTGCCAGTGCCCAGCGTAGCCGCCTCATCCAGGTCACCACTCACGAACGCCCCCACATCCTTGGCCTCTGCACCCAGCTTCTCCCCTGCCGTGTCACCTGACGCCTCACCCTCCTCGCCTGCTGCCTTCTTGCCCTTGCAGCACCCGTTGGCACACGCCCCTGCGGCAGCCACAGCACCCAGCCCGTCGAAGCTGGGGCTGCAGTCGGCGCACAAGCTATCATCAGGGTTGTAGGCGCCAGGCAGCTCATCACCCTCGCCCATCTCCTTCCACTGCTGCAGCGCGTCCGCCAGGCTGATTGCCATGTCGATGCCGCCCGTCTGGTCCTCCAACGGGTCCTGGTGGGCGCACATGGAATTCACGGTTTGCACGGGCTTGGGGGTTAGACAAGCATGATGCAGTGGAGAGCAAGGGAAATTGACCATTCCCGTGAGCACAAGGCGTGCTCTAGACAAGACCGCAATTCATACAGGGCTGTAGGCAAGGGTGGAAGGGGGCTCGCCTGGGGTTTCCACTGCTGCACAAGAGGCACGAGCGCAGCAACAACGTCGCTCATGGTGGGGCGTCGCTTGGGGTCCCTGGCGGTGCAGTGCAGCGCGAGGTCCGCCATGGCGCAGATGGACTCAAACACCGTCGCCCCGCTGCCCGCCTCCCCGCCCACCATCATGGGCGACTCCGCTGCCAGCGTCGGATCCACCACCTGGCGGGAGTAACGAGGGGGTGGATGGGCGTTGAACGGGGACATAGACGAAGCAAAGGGATGGGGTGACGAGGAGCGATAAGGCGAGTGATCGAGACGCAGGAAAGAGCTAGGAAGGTGGCAGTAGAGCAGGGTGGGTTGGATTGGGCGGGAGTGAGTGCGCACGAGGGCGAGCTTCTGGCGGTCGGGGATGTGCGGTGGCAGCCACGTGGCGAGGTGCACCGTGTCCTCGGACTGGCTTGAGTCAAGCGCGCGTCGGCCCGTGACGAGCTCCATGAGCACAACGCCGTAGCTATACACGTCCGACTTGGTCGTCACCTTGCCCGTCACTGCACGCACCCACGGGTAAATAGATCAAGGAAAGCAGTGCTTTAGAAACAGCCCACGCGGCAGGTAATCCGTCGCATCAAATTCTTGCAAGAAAGCGCGGCGACCACGAGTGCGCCCGCCATACCCGCATATTCCGGCGCGAGGTATCCAAAGGTGCCGGCGAGGCGGGTTTCGATGGAGGGCTGGTAGCCGTCGATGCCGCCGAGCTGCTGCTGCTTGACGAGGCCGAAGTCCGAGACCTTGGCGCGGAACGAGTCGTCCAGCAGCACGTTGCTCGGCTTCATGTCGCGGTGGATGAACGACGCGCGCGCCAGCCCGTGCAGGTACTCCAGCCCGCGCGCCACGTCCAGCGCCACCGACACGCGCGTGCGCCAGTCCAGCGGGCGCAGCCCCAGGCGCTGGTGGTCGAACAGGTGCCGGCTCAGCGGACCCTGCGCACGGGAGCAGAGGGAACCGGAGGAAGCGGGGAGACGGGGTTGAGAAAGACGAGGGGCCGAGAGGATGGGGGAATTTGGGTGGTTGCGTGGAATCACACGGAAGTTTCCACCGGCAGACGAGGCTAGAGGCGCAGAGAGGTTTAACGGTGGAAAGCGGGCGACGGACGGAAAGACGGGGAGGGGGGAGCGCGGAGGGGAGGTTGGCACCTTGGGCATGTACTCGTAGACGAGCAGGCGCTCGTAGCCGTCCACGACGTACCCCAGCAGCGCCACCAGATGGCGGTGCCGCAGCTTCGTCAACACGCCGATCTCCGCCTGCGCACACACGCACCGCCAGCACGCCACGTCACGCACGCGCACATGTTTTCTTTATGTGTGTAAGCGTGGGTGACGAGAACACGACAGAGCAATGCATCGCCATGGCGAAGGAAGGATGGAAGTGTGTGGAGAGGCTGATTGGGGTTGAAGGGCACGTGCGGCGACGGGAGGGAAGCAGGGGTGTGCGAGGCGTTACCTGGAACTCGGAGAGGCCCTTGGTGGAGAGGTGGCCCAGCTCCATGCGCTTCACCGCCACCTTGGTGCCGTCCTCCAACTCGCCCTGCACGCCACGCACACCACGCCGCACCACATGCCGCACTCAGCACACGCGACAATAAGCACTGGTACTGAATGCTGGTTATGCGCTTAGGCGTGAAGGATGGATACCGGGCCGGAGAGAGACAGCTCGGTAGTGCATGCGTATCCGCAGCAGAACCGTATCAGCGCCTCACCTTATAGACGGTACCGAAGCCGCCCTTGCCGATGATGTTGGACGGCGCGAAGTCACCGGTGGCGGCGCGGATGACCTCGATGCGGATGAGCAGGTCGCCCTCCGACGAGTCGCCCAACGCGTACCCGCGACTGGCGGCGAGCGCCGCGGGGTCGATGCGAATCTTGACATCCGTGGGCGCCACGGCCCCCGCCAGCGAAATCGGCACCGTTGCCGACGCCAGCGCGCCCTGCGGATCCCGCGAGTCGGACCTGGGGAAGGGGCGGTACGGGTCCGCGAGGGGTGTGACAACGACGGGTACGGAAAGGAATTAGGGCCTTAGGTTGGGTTTGCGCCATGGGGGGAGGGGAGGGGGTGGAGGGGGAAGGGGGTGGGAGGGTTGGGGGGAAGGGGTTTTGAAATGCCTTAGGGTTCGTTCGCGCCGCAAGAGGCGAGTCCACATTCCGAACTCACATGGACGGGCTGCCCACGCGGCGCCAGTGGCGCGAGCGGCGGAAGAAGATGCAGAGGCCGCAGAGCGCGAGGGCGACGCACAAAAGCAGCGCCACGGGGACCACGATCGCCGCTATCGGCACGGAGCTGCCGCTGCTCTCGCTGCTCGCTGGTGCCGCACTGGTGCTGCTACTGCTGCTGCTGGTGCTCGCGGCGCTGTCACCCCCAGCAATCGCGCTAACGTTCTGTATTGGTGCCTGCGGCGGAGGCGTAGACGGCAGAGACGGCGCTGCGGTCACATTGTCGGGCACGGGGGCTGTGGGCAACGGGCAAGGAGGTTTGGGGAAGGGGGTTTTGGGGAGAGATGCACGGTCAGGGGAAATGGAAACCGCAGTGCACGAATGAACGGTTTTGAAAAAGGAAGCGACTGAAAGCGCGGAAAACCTTTACCTGGCGATTTGCTAGGCGCCGGGGGAACAGGTTTCACTGGCGTGGTGGGGGCAGTAGTATTAACAGGGGGCGACACCACGGGGCTCTTAGGCCTGTGCGGCCGATGCGGACCGTGCGGCTTGCGCGGAGAAGTCTTGACGACGACGACGGGCGGCACTTTCGGCTTCGGAGCGACAACTGGCGGCTGCACCTTGGGCTTCGGCACGACCACGGGCGGCACCACAACAGGCGGCACCACAACGGGGGGCTTCGGCACTGAAGGCAGAGAGGGAGGCGCAGCCGGCGGCTCGACTGGCGGCTCGGATGGCGGCGCCGCAGGCGGTTCCGCAACAGTGAACTGGTTACCCATGGAGAGTACCGTGACTCCCGGCGCGAACTGGGGCAGGTCACCCGTAAAGCTGTTGTTGGCGAGGTTGACAGCTTTTAGCGCAGGCAAGGCGGCGATCTCAGGCGGCACGGGGCCAGTGAGGTTATTGCCGGGCACCTGCAGCATCTCGAGCGACAGGAGCTTGCCCAGCGACGGCGAGAGCGTGCCGTTGAGACCCTGCCTGGCCAGCGTTATGCTGCGCACCCTGCCGCGCGCCGAACACCCCACGCCCACCCACGACGACGCCTGGTCGGCGGAGCCGCACGGCGACGATCCCTTCCACGACGCGACGAGTACGGGCGGGTACTGCACGGCCTTGAGGAACTCCAGCAGCGCCATCGTCTCCCGCGGACACTTGTCGCCGGGCTTCGCGCCGCAGAAGCCGTTGGGGATGTAGCTCTTATTGCCGAATTGCTTCATGAAGCGCCAGATGGGCCCCACAAGGTCGTTCTTCTGCACCTCCAGGTCGCGCAGGTTGGGCGTGTCGCCTAGCGTCTTGGGCACCATGCCCGTCAGCTGGTTCTCGTACAGCTTCACCGACTGCAGCAGCGACAGCGGCCCGCCCAGCGAGTCGGGGATGGCGCCAGAGAGCATGTTGCCGTGCAGCCACAGCTCCGAGAGCAGCGGCACCTGGCCCAGCCCGTCGGGAATGGACCCCTTGATCTGGTTGTTGTTCAGCCGCACCGACTGCAGACTCGCCTGGCCCGGGCCGAACATGTCGGGCGGCATCTCACCGGCGAACTGGTTGTGCGCCAGGCTGAGGTTCACCAGCGACGCCATGCCGCCGAGGTACGCAGGCAGGGAACCGGAGAAGCCGCACTGGGTGAGCTCCATGACCTGGAGGGCGGCGTTCTTGGAGAAATCCGGCATGGACTGGCCCTGGTAGTCGTTCGCCAGCAGGTACACAGCCTGCAGGTTCGTCATGTTCTCGAAGAGATTAACAGGAATAGCCGTGAACAGGTTGTGGTCTAGCCCTATTTTCTCCATCTTCTCCAGCCGCCCCAGCTCCGCCGGCACCGGCCCCGTGAAGCCGTTCTCGCCCAGAAACACGGCGCGCAGGTCCGTCAGGTTCGCGAGGGCTGGCGCGAGTTTGCCGCCGAGGGCGAGTTGCGGCACGAGCAGGCTGGAAACGACGTGGTAGTCGGACGACGGGTCGCGGCTGCATGAAAGGTGCTCCCAGCCGTCTTCGCACGGATCGCCAGAGTCGGGCCACTTGAGCGGCGCAGGATTTTTTAGCGCTTTCTTAAACGCGAGGAGCGCCTCCGTGTCCGACGGGCGCGTTACGGCCACGCACGCGAGCGGTGCGACGATTAAGAGGGTAATGACGAGGAGCGACGACATTGTTAACGGCGAGGTGTGGCGGGAATATGAGAGGGCCCTGGCCATGATGGGCCCGAGAAACCCGGCTAACGACACGCCTTCACGGCTGATTCCTCCTCTTTGTTAAATCGCCCCTACTTTCCGCTGGCTCTAACTATTCGAACACATTGTTCTAGGACAACCCTAAACTCTCTTTGCAGTAATGACGACTTGACTTTTTACGTTCTCGCTTTTGTTCACTTGTCCCGTGGTTGCGCGAAACGAACGACAAGCAGGGGCATCCAATCAGATGGTTGATCGTGGTCTTTGAATGCTGCGCTTCCTCCTAATCAACGTGTTGTTCGCACTGTCTCCAAACTTCAGGTGCGATGAGAGACTTCATTATCGGATGGGTGGACGCATTGTCTTGTATCGATGGGCTTTGAGGCAACCAAGCGAGACTGCTGCACCTACGGATCACTGCTGTGGGATTGAGTGTGGTCCTTCCATGCCATCAGGCAAATTGGTGTGGCATGATGCGCCGCGCAGCCATTCAGCCCATCTCTCACACCGCCCTCCATCGCGCCGCGGATACACACACATGGCTCGGCCTCCCCATCTCCTTTCGTGCATTGCCTCCCGCCAAAAGGTGATGGCGTGGAAGGAGGCTACAAGGGTGACGAGCATCCGAGGCGCGGCATGATGACGGCAAAGCAGCTGAGGCACCAACATTGACACGTCCGTGGGCGCAGAGCGGTCCTTCTGTGCGCACATATCACACTGGCCCATGGGGTCAACGCGCTCCGCTGCTGGTTGGGTGAGGAGACCTCGTAATACTCACCATGGAAAAAATGTGACTGTGTCAGGCGCAAAGAAAAATCAGGATTCGAACATCAGAAGGAAAGTCAGACAGGTGTCAGGGGTTCATTGGATTTAATGTAGCACCACATACCATTCTCAAAGTGTACTACACAGTCAATAACTTCCTATAGACATCTAAACACATCTGTTACGAGTGCAATTGAGTGAGCGAACGAGAATTGCACTATCGAAGCAAGAGTACAACGAGCGAGGGCATGAGCGAAGAATATATAGCGAAACTACAGTGGTAACGGTAATGTGTGGAAATTGGGGTGCGCGACGGGCCTAGCGCCGAGGGTGGGAAATACCGAGGTGGAGGTCCTGAGCGGGGGTTACCAACCGAGCCGTGAGGTTGGGTCGCGGCGTGAACAGTGGCGGGAACAGTGTCGAGGCGAGTGTCACGGGTGGTAACGGTTTACTGTTGAGTGATGTTGGCGGGAACAGTGGTGTACGCGCTGAGAAGGGATGCGGGGTAAGGAAAAGGAATTTTCCTTACAACATAACTTAAATTACTTAATGGGTTCCAGTATAATCTAAATTGAATCATGTCCAAACATCACTAGTTGTCTTAGACGTGGGAAAACGTGGCAAGATACACCCCGATAGTAGCGTCTGTACAGATCGAGAAATTCGCTCGTGTCCAGGAACCGTGAAGGTGACGGCAGTAGCATACGAACCGTCACTGTGCATCCATGCCAGTAGCAAAAACGAAGAACACAAAAGAGAGTACGGATGAGAAGGTAGAAGCGATGCATACGGTTACAAAGCATCTGGACCGTCGAAGCTGTTAGAATCTAGCAGTAGGAATGGATGAACTAACATCATGCAGGAGTACAAGTAGTAAACCCTAATTGGGTTGTACCCCATATGGGCTACCCCACTACAGCCTAGACAATATGCAGCATATGTTTGACACACCCCCATAGGCAAAGTGGGGGAGAAAAAGGGGTCACACGACCAGTCAAGAGAAGCAAAGCAAGCTCAGGGTGGATCACAACGTCACCAGACATTCTGAGCGCAAGCAAAGGGCCACAAGGCCAGTTCACATGCAGAGATATATATATATATATATATATACATATATATATATCACAGTACAAGCAGAGACTACAACAAGTGTGGAAACGTAGGCACAAGGCCTAACAGGGTACAAAAGCGCTGATGATCACCAGACGGAAGTGCCTTGATGATCATCAGCAGTGTTGGCCCGAGTGGCCACGTGACGAAGACGAAGCTGGCCTCGCTGCTGCAACTCTCGAGCCAGGAAGTAACGCAGAGCGATGTGCTTCGTTCTGTGCTCCAGTCTCTGCTCCTCACACAAGGCAATGGCCGCCTTGTTGTCAACGTACAGAACTGGAGGAGAACGAGGCCGCTCACCCAAGTCAGTTAGAAGGTAGGTAAGCCAGCGTAGCTCCTGTGCAGCCATGGCGGTGGCGTAGATCTCAGCCTCACAACTGGAGCTGAGAACAGAAGACGAGCGTGTAGACCGCCAAGAAACAGAGCCAGAGCCAAGGCTGAAGGTGTAACCCTGTGACGACCGCTGTGTAGTCTGGTCGTCAACCCAAGACGCGTCTGAGTGCCCAGTGAGCACCACCTCACTCCGTCCTCCAAGCACGAGCCCCATGCCTGATGTACTGCACAGGTAGCGCAACACCCTCTTAGCAGCATCCATGTGCACCTGCCTGCCAGGAGCCACGTAACGAGCCAAAAGGCCAAGAGGGTATGCGAGGTCAGGTCGTGTGCATGTCATCAGGTACATGAGGCAGCCAACTAGCTCTGGGTAAGGACCACTCGGCTCTACGGACTCGTCCGAAGGTGGAGCTGAGAGCGAGTGACCTGTAGCCAGAAGAGTGGGCTGTGGGGAGGACCAGGAGAAGCCGAAGCGCTGAAGGACCTGCTGCACCATGTGTGACTGAGTCAGGGTGATGGTGCGGCGTGCTCTGTCCCGGGTGATCTGCAAGCCAAGGTAGCTGCGCAGCTCACCCAGGTCTGTGCACGTGTGTCTCTTCTGCAGCTCCGACTTCACCTGAGCGAGAGCCTCAGTGTCAGCAGTGGCAAAGACCAAGTCGTCGACGTACACGAGGATGTAGAACGGCGGCAACGAAGTGTCGGTGCGCAGGAACAGCGACGGGTCAGCAGTCGAAGGAGCGAACCCAAGAGCCGCAAGCGTCGTCCTCAGTGTGTCGTGCCACTGACGTGGCGCCTGGTGGAGACCGTAGACTGGCCGCCGGAGACTCCACTGGGTACCAGGAGGAAACGACCCAGTGAAGCCAGGTGGGTGGCGCAGCCAGATCTCCTCGTGCAGGCTGCCCTGTAAGAAGGCTGTGCTGAAGTCAAGTGAGTGAAGCTCATAGTCACGCCGAGCGGCAACGTGCAGCAGCACCCGAAGAGTGGTCATCTTCAGGGTAGGGGAGAAGGTCTGGAAGAAGTCAACTCCCTCTCGCTGACTGAAGCCTCGAGCAACGTAACGAGCCTTGAAGACAGGCGGAGAACCCGGCGGCCGCTTCACCCTGAAATCCACATGCCATCGACGATGTTCGCCCCAGGAGGGGGAACCTCATCGACGTAGGTGCCTGTGGACTTCCAGGATGCCATCTCTGCGTCCATGGATGTTTGTGTTGGTGCAACCTACGGTTTGCACTCGGCTTGTTGTCCGTGTGCGTGTGCGTGCATGCGTGTGTGCATGGAGTGGTATGAGTGCATGAAATAAATATATATTTCATGCTTATAATGGTGTGTGAATGATGGGTCATGATGTCGAGTGTGTGTGTCGAGTCAATAGCGAGTTATCGCTAGTCGCGTGTAACGCGGTCATTTTGTGTGTCCCGCGCGGTTTCTATTTTGTCGTGCGCGGTTTCTATTTTGTCGCTTGTCGAACGTTTGGCGTGTCGCAGGTGTGTGCAGCAGACCCATCAAGAACTCGAGGATGAGTTTTGTGATGAAGAACCCGAGCCTTGGTTGCAAGCTTCAAGTGATTTCGAAGCTGGCCAAAAGGGTTCAGCTCAAGATATTGAAGATAGTTACATTACAATTTGTAGTGTAACATTTCTATGGGTGTAGGCCCTTGTGGAGGGTAGTTTCGAGACCCTTCTTGGTTGGGGACAGTGTGGCACTGTTACCCATTACTGTAGCTCGGTTCTTGGGGTTTGTAGGAGCTGGGAGTCCTTCCCAACTCGTAACTCTTCCTAGCTGTTCGTAATTGTGTTCCTAAGACTATGTTGCTGCCATAGTGCTGTTCGTTCAATCTGACGCTGTGTCGTCAATTCTTGATGAAATCGTGTGATCTAAATTGCCTATTGTAGGCGACGTTGAGACGCTCCAGATCCAAGTTGAATGAGGTCAATTAGAGGTGTGAGCAGATCGCTATGAACGTTTAAAGCCGCTGTGCAGAAATCTGACTGCGCACTCTATCTTTGGTTCTAGGCACATTGAAGCCTATTGGAGCCTATTGTGACTATAACAAGTGGTATCAGAGCCCCTTGGAGCAGCTACGACGATGGCTGGACCTGAAGAGAGGGGTGGCAGAGGTGCTGGAGGCAATGGAGAAGCCCAAGCACAAGGCCAAGCCCGTGATTCAGCCGTGGCGCCCGTGCAACCAACTCTTGGGCCTTCAAGGGATGAGCCAAGAGTGTTCGGGCTTGACAAGTTCAACGGCGACAACTTTGCTGAGTGGTCCTTCAGAATGGAGAATGTGTTCGACCATTATGACCTGCTGGAGGTGATGGAAGGAACGGAGAAGCGTCCCGAGAACGACCCGGAGAAGAGCCCGTGGGTGCGGAAGAGCGCACAAGGCTATCTCCTACTTGGGCAAGCGTTGGGGAGCAACCAGATCCGTCACATCAAGCCTTTCCAGCGTGAACCAGAGAAGGGACCTAAAGCATGGGCTGCTCTCAAGGGTGTACACGCTCCTGCAACAGCGGCGGTAGCTGTGGTGTTGGAACGGCAAATGGCGATGCTACGAATTGAGGAAGATGAACCCGTGGAAGACGGGGTGCAGAAATTCTTTGACTTGTTGACGCGGCTTGAGGGAGCAGATTTGAACTACAATGAGCTCCAGAAGAAGACCAAGTTGCTGGCCCTACTCCCCGAGTCGTGGTCCTCGCTCATCATCAATTTGAACCGTGATCTGCCCCGCCTCTCGCTTGAAGACGTGAAGCGAGCGATCCTTCAAGAGGACTTCCGCCGCCGTGAGTTGGCGAGTGCGGATGGCGCTGGGGCAGCGAGCG